AAGCACAAGTTCAGTCCAGAATGGAACAGTTATGGGAAGACTGCACAGACCTAGAGCCTGTAAATCCAGTCAGACCTCCTCTGACTCTTGTACAGCTTTGATTCGTAGGTGGCCTGTTGGCTTCTTTGGTCCAGATGACCTTTAGAGGTCCCTTCCAACTCTAAAGATTCTACGATTATCAGACTTTGTTACCCTGAGGGCTGCAACTCCAACATCATGCTTAAAACCAAGACCTTTCTGTTATCCCCTCATCCCGAGCAGAAGCAGTGTGAAAACCAGCCAGTCCATAATAAGCACTGGCTCACAGCTGCCCACAGGTACCCCGGCTGACTCTAGGGCAGCATATGGGGCACATCACACAGTGCCTTCACTGCCTGGGTCCCCATGGTTGTGCGTTTCACAGCGTACCTCAGCCCTTGATGCTATAGCAGAAGAAGCACGTATCATAATGAGCTTATTCTACACCATTTGCTTCCTGGTTCCTCGTATTGTAGGTACTGAAACTTTTTAAATTACTGTTACACAAAATGCGAGATTCTAACAAAAGCGGTGTCTAACAAAAGCACAACACCGGCTGAGGTACAATAGAGCAGTTCTGCCTCCAGCTGCGACCAGAACTCGGTGCCACCTGGGGCTGGCAGCCCGGGCAGGAGCAGCCAGGCTGAGGCTCCCTGCACAAGTACCATCGTTACCGCGCGGAACACAACGCGCCCGAGGCGGGGCGCACCCAGCCCCGCCACTCTTCCCGCGCTGCCGCCCGTGCCGCCACGCGCAGGCTCCATAGGCGGTGCGCGAGGAATCCAACAGGTGGCTCCGTGGCGCAATGGATAGCGCATTGGACTTCTAGAGGGTTGAAGGGATTCAAAGGTTCCGGGTTCGAGTCCCGGCGGAGTCGTAGCTTCTCTTTTCATACCGCTTTTTCTTTCCTTCACTTTCCCATGTACACTTTTCACCTCGTTCCTCCCTCCCTTCCCCCACCGCCGCAGTAACCGGGGGTGCCTACCTGCCGCTTTCCAGAGGACCTTTCCGGGGCCGCCTCCCGGCGCGCCCGACGGAGCGGGGAGCGGGCGGAGGCGGCGGCGGCGGCCGAGCGGCCGTCTGGTCTCGAGCCTCCGCCGAGAAGGAACGGCGCACCGAAGTGCTTCACCGGCAGCAAGCGGAGCGTTGCCGCACACCGACGCCGCGGCGACCGCCGATCACCTCCTCCCTCATCCGTTCGCCGGCGCGCGGGCCCCAACGGTCGGCGGCGCGCGACAACGGAGCTGCGAGGCGCGCGGGCACAAGCGGCAGCCGGCCGTGCAGATGTTGAGGAGCGGCAGCTCCCCTAGGATTGCTCGTGCAAAGAGTGGGTATAAAAAAAAAAAGTAAAAAGCGAGCCACCAAGCAAACCTCTACAATAGCACCATCTTTGGCAAACGTAACTGCGTCGGTAAACCGCCGTAAGCTACTACGTTTCCAAACAGCTTTCAGAAAACAGTTTTGCACAGCAATCCGAGCACTGCTCACCCACAGCACTGAAGCACTGAACGCTTGAATTAATAAAACCTACACCTACCCTCTAAATAAAGAGCCATTTTAGTAACAGCATAAAAAATGAATGGAAAGCGTGGGCAGGAAAATGCAAACAGCAGCAGCGAACAAACCATGACTGTATTGGACTGAAATACATCTGTGATGGATTCGTGGCTGATAAAAACATTCGTGATTTGATTCATAAGTTGTATATTTAATTGAAAAATATTAAAAATGCATTTCTATCCTGCATATGTGCCTTTGGCCTCTTTTTCCAACTGAAAAGCATGCCATCAATGTTAGCCATTGCTGATTTACAGTGTAGAGACCCGTTCTGGAATGCTCCCTAGCTACAAAACGCACGCAGCCCTTTGCAGAAACATTCAGTTTTGCCAGAACCTACAACAAACAGCTATCACCGATCTCCAACATGAATCTCATACCAAGCAGCAACACAGTGAGACAGCAAAGCCCTCCTCCCTGTTCAGTCATCGCCAGCAATCCAGTTACCTGAACGCTATTCCTGTCCACTTTTATTTAAGGACAGTCTCATCCAACTTGCCTAGTTCCCAGCAAAAAGATGGAAGGCACAGGCTTTTACATACAGACCTTTGCATACTGGAAGTGATATTTAAGTGACCACTACATGACAAAAGCCTAATAGAAAGAATTGCATGCTGAAGAAGCAAGGAGCTCCAGCATAATAGCACACAGGGCAGAGCAGGCAGCACAGGGACACGTTCTGCGAGACGACTGTGCAAAGCATGCTCTGAGGAATGCTAAGGCAATGTACTCACTGCCTGAATGCAGTAAGAGAATCAGTTGGAATATGACCAAGAATTGCAGCAAGCAATATAAATGGGACAGACCATTAGAAAGCTTCAGTCCTAAGGAGACTAAGTTGATACAGGGGGATTATCCCAAAGAATGGAAGACGTGAGCAATAAGCACACAGCAAAGAAAAATGGTAAGTTTTACTTCTGCATGCAGACCAAGCATGTCTGCTAGCAGTACCGCACCAATAACAACAGCTCTGTCATTGCAGCCTAAGCCCTTTGGACGCCTGACAGCCCCAGCTGCAGCACCCAGGAGAAAAACTGAGCTAGCTGCAGCAGCAACTTCAGCTGCTCTCTGTCCAACGGCATGGGAAACACAGGCTCAGCCAGGGGAGCATGAAGGAGAAAGGAATTCTACCCACACAGAACATCCCAGTGACATCCAAAACAGCTGTAGTTGCATACATAGGCTTATAAACATTCCAATTGCTCTTTAATCCCGGAAAGAATTGTCAGTAATATTTTATATCAATAAAATACAAATATTTGACAGCAGTTACAAGAAAATACTTGTAATTTGTAAGCGAATTGTTTCTCAAACTACACCAATGTTTCACAATATTTTTTTTTAGTACTGTCAGAGACATCTGATAAGTTTATGCAATCTTTTTTTTTTTCCCCTGCAACTTAAAATTTATCATTTGTAAACAAATTCAATAGTCTGAAGCATTATGTTCTATACTTCTAGGAAAATCAGTAGCTGGGAGACAACACACCACCAACACTCTCCCTGACAGGATGAAGCGCAAGCTGGGGCAAGGACAGCAAGCAGGCAACCACCGCACATGCTGGCCAGCTCAACTCACCTCTTGCTCACAGAGAACACAGGCACATGCTGGGCACAGCACGTGGCACAACAGATGTTAGAACATCTGAAGGAAAGGGAAGGATACAGAACATAAAAATCCTTCACTAGCAATGTTAAACATAAACTGTGTTAAGATCTGCAGTAAGCTATTGAGCAGATTGAGCAACAGACATGAAGCTGTTGCTTGCAGTGTACAACCAAAGCTCACTTTTCTTTTTGAAGGTCTTTCAGAGCAGCACATTGCTTTCCTGAAGTTTGGGATGCAACAAAATGACAACTACTGTGGTGGCTTGTTTTCTTTCCTCAGCGTTCAGCATTCCTTTTTTTCTTCTTGCATTTCCCATCCAGAGAACAAGACACCATAGTTGTTTTTATTGGCATTATCATTTACAGGTTCAAGACTGTAGCACGTATGATTGTATTGGAATATCTATGCGTTAGCTGAGACCTGGGGCCAGGTGGTTCTACTTTTTATGGTGTTCAACACTTCAAACAAATTCACTTCCCTTTGTGCACCACTTATCTCCAGGCAACTGAGGACTTATAAAAATCCAGATTTCCATCTGTGTTTGGCAGCACAATTAACGATTTACGATTAACTTCAGAGAAATACAAGAAAATCTACACAATCACAGGAAATTTTCTGTCAAACTTCAGCTGGTGATCAGTACATGCCAATTTCATCTCTCTCCAGCACGAACTGCTGATTGTTGAACAAACACCCTGCCCCCCAACTATTTACCCAGCAGACTGAAAAATTATATGGTTAAACACTGGTCAAGAACATCCTTCTTGCGTAAAATCTGCAACCTCTGAAATTCATTCTTCTTATAATAAAACATGAACATCGCTGGAGTCTTGATAACCTTGTCTAAGTTTGCCTCACTCAGTTCATCCAAGATAATGCAGCAATAGTTCTCCGTCTTCTAGTTTCTGCTATCTAAGGACAGTAACTGATTGTACTAACTGAAACAGCAATACAAGAACAAGGTCATTAAAAAGCAAACAAACAGCCCAACACTTAACGGTCACAAGAAGTTATGAACCGACACAGAAAAGAAACAGAACTGATACTGTCTTTAGTTCTACCAAACGCACCATGTCCATTTTCCTGAAGAACTATTCCAACAGCTATCAGATCACAGTCTGGATACTGTAATGGACCCAACTACCAAATTATTGTCACTAAAATCATTAAACAATCATATGGTAAGGCTTAAGTGATCTAAGACTGGATATTAAATTTTTGTGTACGAATACACATTATTTATTGCATATATTTATTTATTTATTAATAAATGTTATATATTTTAAATTTATATATACTATTTATATATATGTATGCACATAAGTATATGCATTTATGCTGAATTCTGGGACATTCTCAACTCTGCCATGTTCACTGTTGAAATAAACTCTCTACAGTGAAATAAGCTCTCCACAACCAAGCTAATGCTCAACACCCTGTTACATATTTGGCCAGCAGCATTCTGACAAGATGCAGTAAAATTTTCTGCAATACAAACAGGTGCCAAATGCAAATTATACACCTATCTTAGATCTATATTTGCTAATTCATTCACGTTAAGACTGAAAACTGATCAGGCTGTAACCCATTGAGTTGGATGTTGTGCTCAGATTAAACAACGTGCTTTCAAGTCATTAACTTTTAAAATAAACAGTACTTTTCATCAGTCTTTCATATAAACACAATTTTAGATACCTGATTAATTTGATAAAGCTTCTACCAAATTCTTACTGCAATAAATTCCTTAACTCTCAATTTACATCATCCTTAGTCTTAAAATAAAAAAATAAATAAAAATAAAAAAACACACCACGAATCAAAGCAATCTGAGAAAAGATTTATGACAAATAAGTGGTTCCATCTTGTTATTTTTCTTCAAGTCTTAATTGTGAAATTTCTTCTTCTTCCGATTCTTCTTCCCTGCTGCATAAGCTGCTTTTTCACTCATGATCTCCTGATACTTCCTTTTATTATATCTGAACAAAATAGACAATTTACTTTTAAGCATGGGAAATCAAAGTTCAGGAAAACATAATACGGACACTTATGCATAGATCAAAGGATACTGACACTTGGATTATAAATAAATGCAGGTGAATTTGTTTTGGAAATAATTTGATTGAAAACTCAGTAACTCTGGTATAATCATTGGTTTTTCATGGCATATATAAATCACATTTTGGACAGTATGCTAAAAAGCTGCTACAGTTCACAGTGGGAAGATTCATCAATTTTGACATCACAATGGAGAACAAACCCATTTCTCTCAGTGAACTTATTATCAACATTACTCTATTCAAGACTAGAGACTGAGGTGAGACTAATATAGAACAGGATGTATGTATTGTATATGAGCAGCTAGCTCCTCTAAGATAAGGGGTTTTTATGTACCCATCATAATGGATCATTGCACACTTAGCAGTGCTAACACTCGATTGCAAAAGTACACTCAAAAATATTTGCAGTAACATTAAAATAGCTAGTTAAAGCCTTAACTAGTCATAACAGAAATTAATTGATCAAATTCCAGATGCATTCTTTTTTTTAACACTGCTCCTAATAAATACATTATGAATCAGGTCAAGCCACAAAACTAGAGTTAAGAAGTAGCTATTCTAACTTGCATTAAAAATGAAACTACAAGCCCGTTAATGGCAACCTTATTAGTCCAAATCATGTATTACTGCCAAGAAAACACGTCATTATGGTGAAAATGAGAAATGCACGTTAGCATCATGCAATAACCAATATGCAAATGGACCAACCAAGGGACTGCTTAAAAAATCTGGAGGTTGGGCAGACATGAATTCATCCAATCATATTGTGCAATTTTAATTCCTGTGACAGCTGGCAGTCTGACATGCTCATGAAATGAAACCCCACCAACAACTCATACAGAATTATAGCCAGAACTCTTCTACAATTTACACCAAGAAAAATTAATCAGTCTTTAAACAAACAAACAACAAAAATGTTGATGCATATGCATAAAGCACTGGTTCAGGTTTCTGGCACATGCCTGCATAGTCACTTAGTTAATAAGTAAACTAAAACAAATCTGAGTGTTTTCTTTCCAATACTGACTCTATTCTAAGAGTGACTGTCAATAGTGATGACATCTGAGTTGGATCAAACCCTTTGATGATGATAAAAAAATATGCTGTCACAGCCTAATTATCTCCTGTCCCTTACAACTTCTCAATCGCAGTGCTAAAACGGACAAAATTTTTTACTGAACTTGAGAAACATTTAAGCTGATTAGAAATAATAGGAGAGTTATCTAGTTAAAAATACACCTCCCTTATATATGGCATTAGAATTACAAAACTAATTTTAAATACCTTCTAAACTCAGAATCTGCAAGCAGCTCTTCAACAATTGTTTTCTTCCTCTGTTTCTTAGGAATCCGACTGTGGTAAAAGTCTATGGGAGAATCAAGCACAGTTCCAACCTAGGAAATAAAAATTATAAGCGTTCGTACTGCAAAAGCAACATGTGGATTTTTTTCAATCTTTAGTTACAGTTCTAAAGACACTTATTAAAAAAAAAAAAGCACAAAATATCAGAAAACAAAAGCAATGTTTTGCATGCAAAATCACTCTTTGTCTCACATTTACTGCACACAGGAGAGTCTGAGCTTTAGAACTGCACAGTTTTCAACGCTAGACTGCTGCATCGATTCTTGTATTCACTAAAAAAATTCAGTTCTTAACTTTCAAACATTGTCCCAAGAAGGAAACCCCACAAGTGATGGTTTTCTAGTAGTGACACTGCTAGACTCTCAATAACCCAGGTCTAATAAGGACTTCTGGCTATAGAGCCTCCCATTTCTCCCAACTTGCATGTTAGCAAGCTTTGATGTAATTTTAATGTCCATAAACTTATACATGCAATAAATTCATCCTTTAGCAAGAAAGAGAAGTGCAATCAATTATGTCAAGCATACTAACTATTCAAAGACATAAGTACATACATCCAAATCTACTTCTACAGTTTCTGTAGTAATTTTATTTTCTTTCTTCTTGCACATTTTTTTTATGCACAGTGTTTCAAAGATGAACGCTACAGTAGCAGAAATTCTAGCTGATCACAAAGCTAGTTGTCTCCATTCAAACTACATTAGCTAAGAAGAAAATAAATGCTAATTATCTATGCACTCGTTAAAAAAGCTAACACTTTAGAAAACAGTGAACCTCCAGTCATTGAAGGCTCAAAACAGGAATTAAGCCACACATTTGTTCAGGCCTGTGAGACCAGCCAAAATAAAAAACAGCATATACACCTAAGCAGTAGAGTTAAGCAGTTGTAAACTGCAGTGAAGTACTCAAAATACTTAATAATTTAGCAAATAAAATTAAATCAACAAACACAGAGACTATCTAGAAAGTAGATTGAGAGTAACAGTTCAAAATGGCAGAAAGTAGGACAATGCCTTCTTTTGCTTTTTCCTTACCTGGAAGTATTTGGGCAGACCATCTCGATCATTCTTCTTATAAAAATGTTTGGGGTCCAAAGCAGCTCTCATCTTCAACACCTTAAGATCATTTTTCAGTTCACTTGTGATTTCTGGGGCTTTCATACCAAACCAGCCGTCACCCGTTGTCTTCTCTTGCTCTGCCTACCATGAAAAACAAAGTTGCATTCAGTTACCAGGACAGAATACAGTTGGGATCTCCCCCACTTCTACCTCCAAAGGATTGATAAAGCACTTAAAACTTAACTGTGTACCTTCAAAAATATTTTATGACTCTTTTAACAAGGTCATCAGCACTGTATTAACCACATATTTGTATAATATGAGCACATACTATATTGCCCTTCACTGCCCTGACTACTAAAAGGCTGAAAGGATGGCCATAAACAGCACGAATCAAGTGGTAGTTCACCACTCCATTTCCTGCAAGCCCTGTACGCACAATGCCAGTGTGGGGCTTTCTACTGAACACCTTCTCTTGTCACCTGAGGCATTACAGCTCTTTACTTACTCTGCGTTGTTTCTTTAGCTGCTGAAGCGACTCTCTGAGGGGTGGGACACTTTCCTTTCTTTCAAAATCTGGAGTTATTATACTCTTCTGCAAGAGCTGCAAGAGTTATTTTTTAAACATCAGTCAGAGATATCAGTTTTACCACACACCTGCATTTACAGAGCCTACCAAACAAACAATGCAGAATCTACATAATCCCTGTAATCAAATACTTCAGTTCAAACTCCTCCCTTAGCCTCCACCAAAAGAAGCACAGACCATCAAAACGTATAGGCAGAGCAGAACCAGGCTAATTCTGGAAGAAGCAAGACAGCAAACGCTCCAGAATAAAGAAGGTTATTGTCGATAAGTCTAAGAAAACACTCCCCTGAAAACAATGGACTTTCTTTATCTCAAAGAGTATTCTGAAATAAAACTAACTATCTCATACTAACTCTAACTCATATAACTCTGTATTTGCTGAAATTCATTCTTGCTATGGACTACAGATTTCATTAGCAGACCTTCAGTTTGTACCATCAGGCAAAATGTACGCACAATCAACTTCTTTTTATTTTACAAGACAACACTCATGTACAAGCTGCTTTGCAGTTTCTGAAGTGTCATATGTATTTGAACTCTAACCACTGAAACGAATTGTAAACACAAAAAAAGTAGACGTTCTCAGCAAAGCAGAAAACAAGACACTTCTTTAAAATAACAACTCCAACAAATACAACAAGTATTACTGCAGTTGTAGGTAATGCAAAATTGTAAACACATTACCTGGTCCTTCTTTTTCTCCTTCAGTTGCTTAATTACACTTGTACTAGGTTTTTGTTTTTTTCCATCAAAGCTAATATACAAACCTCCAAGCTTCCTGATATTCAAACCAGGGTCTATGCTGCTGGAAAGATGCAAACTAAAAAGGGAAACAGTAAATGATTAGAATATTGTATCAAATCTTGTAATGCCCTGTGAGAGGAATAAACAGAAAAAATATATTTTTCATCTTCTTCCAAATTACATTCAGCACTGCAGAGACTTTTACTCTCAATATTTAGAAGAAATACATCATTAAGCTGTGACAAGTTCACTCATGCCATCATACGGAACGAGGGCTGAATAAAGAGCAACTCCTGTGGGTTCACTTCCACAGATCCTTCACATTTACTCCAATGATCTATTCTATCTTAGATATTTTTATCTTCTATAAAATTTAGTTCTTAGTTTGCTTAACCATGCCAAAATAACTTATAACCAGCATCCTTCTTCTACACATGTAAAAGCTTGCTAGCTAAGAGGAGGGGGGAAAAAAAAGACCCAAATTATTTTCAGCTCTTAGTGAAAAATATGAAGGTACCAGAATTCATCAGAGAAACACTGTCTGGAATGACAAGTAATTGTACAACAGTGCTAGGAACTAAGCTATTAAACAATATATGATGGCTGACTCAGAAAGAGCCTTCAAATAACAAGAATGCATGACGCCTATCAAGTACTACGGAAAAACACAATGATATTTAAACAGGTGTATCAGATACTTATAGCTAGAATGCATAGATAGATAAACTTTCTTTTAAACTATGAACCAGTCATCTTTGATATCTTTATACAGAACACCTGGCTAATTATTTGTGGGATTTCTAGCCTACCTAAAGGGAACTTCAAATAGCAAGACTTACTCATCAGACCTAAGCAGAGTATTTAAACATCTGAAGCATACAAAGGGGTTTTAGCAGGGAGCTGGACTAGGTAAGCTCAATAGGTTCCATCTAACTTATATTATTCTATAATTGTATGCTGGCTTCACTTGAAGTGTTACATATCACAATCTATCTTAATCTTATCTTCCTTAAGCCATGTTTTAAAAACAAGAATTGAAAACATAAGAGCAACTTTTCAGAAATAAAAAGGATGATCTAACTAAGCAATGTGTAAGTCATTTACTGGATTTCTATTATTTACATTTGAACTAAAAATAATACAAAAATAAAAGACTAGCAAGAAAACTGTGACCTGCGTAAGCAATTAAGTCAGACCAGTTTAAACCAGTTTCACATTTCATTTTTAAGCTGAATGCATGCAAGGCCTCAAGATGCCTAAATATTTCAGATATTTCTGTTCAGCTACATGTAAAGCTGAAAAAAATAAGTGAATTACAATTCTACGTGATAATCAGAACAACTAAATTATCCACATCTGTGACAACATTACTCCCTTTTGCTCTGTGCCGTTTAGTGTGTAATATGCATATCTGATGCATACACCTAACGTAATGCATGTTTTTTTAGCTACTCCCGGAAAGACACTTACACATCAATTTTGTTTTTCAACAAGTCATCATCTTCATCTTTCTCATCTTCATCTATGAGTTCCTCTTCAGCCTCCTCTAGATCTGAGGATTCTTCAACTTTTTCACTCCCTTCATGCTTACTTTCAACATCACTACCTTGCTCTACCTGATCCAGGTAATACTTTCGGCTGGAACCCATGCCAGGCTCAGTATCAATTACAAAAAGGCCTTCAACATGCAGTGAATTCTTTTCTAAAGATTTGTTCATGGAAGGAGTCCTCTCTTCTGCCTCTGTGTCACTCAGATTCTCTTCTGTGGCATCACAGTTCTCAGATTCACCGCTTCCATCTTTGCTCAGTAACAATGCAAAGGAATCATTTTCATCACTGGATCTTTCACTGCTGCAGGATACAAATTCAGCACATTCTCTTGTTTGGTCTTCACTGCCGTCTACACTGATTCCAACCATTCTACAGCTACTAATTATGCTATCAGTCGTATGTGCAACAGACACATCCTTCCCTGGGCTGCTTGCTCCTCTAGACGGTTCACCCTTTCTTAAGTCACAGGCGTGGGTGGAAGTTCTCTCAACAGCTGCCTCAGCATCTACTCTTCTGTTTCCTGGCACTGCTTCATTTTCATTTGGTATTATTTCCCCTGGGGATTCTAAAAACACTTTGGGACTCATGCAGTCCGTCAAACAAACATCCATAATCTTCAACGTCACCTTCCCTGGTACTTTACTGTGCTCTTCCTGCATCTGGCCATTTTCTTCCTCTGAATCATCTACCTCAACAACCAGAGTATCTGTTAAAGCTTTTTTTACTGGTGATTCAGTACTTTTTTTTCCCATTTTTTCAGGACTACTAGGTGCCATATCATTCAAAAAGTTCTGTTTCATACCTTCGTTAGGGATTATATTAGCAGACTTGGGAGAACATTCGCTCTTAGGTGAACCAGATTCTTTATTACACTCAGTGACAAAGGAAGTAACTTCTATGTTAAATTCTGCAGCAGGGCTAGAGTCAGAAATTAGGTCTGACTCAGATTTAATTGTGTCCTCAATTACATTCTCAGGTTTTGAAACAATTTTGTTTACGTTCTCAGCATGCTGAGTATTTTCTGCTTGCAGTTTCATTTGCATGCTCCTAGTAGTTCGTTTGGCAGTAATGGACGGCTCCTGATGAAAACAGCATGACTCTGCATCAGAGATATCTTCACTCTGGGCTTCACAAACAAGATCTGACTGCAACTTATTCCTACTTTGCCTATTTCTCGTAGTTTTGGTAGAATTAGGCATCCGGACATCAGAAACAGCAGAGGAGCAAGACTCCGCTTCAGACACATCATCTTCATCCACAGTTCTGCTTAACTCATTTAGAAAAGCAGTCCTGTTATGTCTTTTTTTCGAAGGGGAAGCTGGTTGATAAGGAACTACAATTTGTCGCCTTCTCGTTACTCTTATAAACAGAGGTGTCTGAAGACCAGACACAGCAGAGCAGTTTGATTCTGCTTCAGACACATCTCCATCAGCCTGTGGATCGGCAGATGATCGTGCTGAATGAACAGCTGCATTCTCATTTCTACTAATCTGCATTTCTGTGCTATCACTGACATCTGGTTTTGTTCCTGCATGGTCCACCTCCTCCAGCTGAGATTCCCGAATTACAGCAGGTTTACAAACTGCTTTACTCCTTCTGGACATCCTCGTAGATACCGAAGTACCAATTTCAGCAGATACAGTCTAGAAGAGGAAAACAAAATGTGGTATTAAAGGATAAGATAATCCCATAAAAGACATACTGTACAAACCACTGACAATCCTTCTTACACAAACCTTATCATGCCGATACCGTGCAATAGATCTCCAAGGAGCCCCATCTACGTGGAAGGAGCATTACTCTATCATCCCTTACTTAACGATTTATTGTCTCTTGATCAAAATCACAGAATAAAGAAAACCATAAAATCAAGAAACTTAAAATCAGTACTTTGCCTCAATCCATAAATTCTGGCAAGCTGTCATGGGAAGCAGGTCCGGAGGTGACATTCTGAAATGTGCCGCATTGCTCAACTATGTATATACATAAATATATATATGTATAAAAAACTGCGCCAGCAGTTATTGGGACGGATGGCCTGCACTGCAATTGCAATGCCTGCTTCTCTAGTGCTTGGAAGTGACCCTGCAAAGCGGATCAAGATGGTGGAAACGCTTCCCCTGTCGCAGAAAAAGCATTCTCAGATTGCAAAGTATTTCCTAACCGAACAAAGCCGGATCGACGTAAAACCTGCTGCCTGAGCGCTCCGCGCCTGCACGACTAGCGACACACCTTGTGAAAAGGCCCCAGCACGGCGCTAACGTAACCACCGTGCAACAGAAAGAACAAAACCAGCCGACCCAAGGCGAGCTCTCACCTCCAACCCGAACCGCCACGCGGCCGCTCGGCGCACGAGGACCTCAGGCTCCGCGGGCGGCGGCACGGCCGGAGCGCAGCAGGACCTCGCTGCCCCGCCGCGCAGTTCCCGAGCCGCCCGCTGCGGGCGCCCGCGCCGACACACGAGGGGGAAGATGGCCGCTGCGGCCCCGCGCCCACACCCCACGCCGGGGGCAGCCGCCCGCGGCCCGCCAGCTCCCGGCTCCCCTCACCTCCGTCGCGCCGCCGGGTCCGTCACCCCCGGCTGCCGCCGTCCCCGCCTCCCGCCGCCGCGTCGCCCGCCTGGTGGCCACCATGGTGCGCACCGCGCCGCCGCCCGCCTCTTCCGCCCGCCCTTCCGGCGGCGCTCCGCGGGGCGGTGCCCCCGGCGCCCGGCGGGCCGCAGTGGAGTTCCGGCCCCGGAGCGGAAAGACGGCCCGGAGACGGAGGCGGCAGAGGAAGGAGCGGCTATGGCCGCTGCTGCTCTGTGCCTCCCGTCGCAACGTACGACTCGGCGCTTCGGGCGTTCCGAGCTTCCCCACGTTCCCATCCCATTCATTTTAATTTTAATCCCCACATTCTCATCCCTGAGAACCGAGTCTGGCGTAAAGGTGAAAGCAGAGAGGGGGGAGGAACGTGAGCTACGACGCTTCTTCGGTAGCGACAATGCTCTTTTTTTTGTTGTTTTTCCCCTCCCCGTACCGCACCACGCAGCGGCGAGGAGGCACAGCGTTCGGGAGCTCAGCTTAAAATACACGTTTTATGACAAAGGCTCCGATAAGGTGAAAAAGTAGGAGGAGGACAATGACAATTCATACAACGGCCTAAAAGAACTTCAGTTTTTAATTCATCTCTGAAAGAAATGCCACCTCTCAGACTTCTGTACAGAGAGTAATATTGAAAAGCTGATAAGTTGTTATGCTATCAATGACATCGCAAAAACAAGACTGTCTTAAAGGGCATTTTCCTAAAGCAAGAGAACTCAGTTGACAGCTGGAAAGTAAATAATGACACCATAAGGGCAACGTGCATTGTTTTAGCACAGCTCTTATTTTAGGGAATTCCCACTGACAGAACACACATGCAATCAAATAATGGCAGCAAACAGTTCAGAGTGGTTAATCAGCAGCAGCACGCAACTCAGTGCCATACACAAGGTACAAAGGAAATACCTTTTCCAGATCTGATGCACACTGACCCGACATAAACCCTACATTTTGTTCAGGAGGAAAAAACCAGAACATTTTATTGATACATTACTAGTTCAAGTTCTCTGCCTCTTGTTTATCAAAACAACTGAAGCAGTAGTAGAAATCCACGCATTCCTAGGGTTTGCCATATACACATAAGATAGTGAAGAACTCAAAGGCATCTCAAAGAATCATCTTGTAACTTAGTGGAATGGTTCAGAGCGAGCTGGTATTTCCACACAGTGCCTACAAGCATTCAGATTCAACTCGCTGCCTGCACAACAGAATTTAAAAAATGGTGGAAATTTGTTTCCTCACAGCCCTAAGCTCAATATACATACAAATTATTTAACCAGTACTAATAAGAAGTACTCGTAACTCCTACCTGAAATCCAGTGGAAAATGAGCATTGGATTCTTGACACTTAGAACCCCTGGTGAACAGACAGAGCTCTTTTTTTTTTTTTTTGCCATCTATTCTGATTTTAATGCCAAGGAAATTTAAAGGCCTTTCCAATAGAGCACATTAAACCGGCCTTAGCTGCAGCCATTTCTCCCTAAGACTCCAAAGCCAGACCATTAAGCTACTGCCAAACAGAAAGATATCTAAGTCTAAGACAATCTTTGTCTGCTTCATTTCTGAATGGCACCCAAGCAATGCTGTTTCCAAGGCAATCCTCAGAATCATCATCCCTTTTACATGAACACACAGTCAGCAGCCTTAACATTTCCCACTGTTTCTGCCATGGCTGATTCAGATTGCATAGCTCTTGAACATTAGAAGAACACACACAGCTGAGGACAAACCAAGTACTATTGGATTCCTGATTAACACATTTCTCATCATTTGTTTCCAGTTCTTAATTTTAAACACACAATGGAACATTTTCTACTTGAAATGGCGAAGATGCCATTATTTGTGAAGTACTAAAAGCACACAGGCACAAAAGACAGAAGGAATTCAAGTCATAAAAAGAAAAGCAATTTGGAAGATGCTTCTTTCTAAATCAGAGGATTGCTTTTTTTTATATATATATATAAACATGATATATTAAAAATAAACAAATTTTTCCCATCCACACAAATTAAACAACTACTTTGCCTATATACATAAGAAGTAAAGATAGTTTATTTAGAATAATTGTTCCATGAAAGATGGCAATTTTCTATTAAAAAAAAAATAAAAATCAGTCCTTGAATGTTTGAAATCCATGTTCCTACCACATTAGTAAATATTGAAGAGCAATTGAACTTAAAAATATATGTTTCTCTATGCTGCATAGCGGTAGCTAAAATATAATCAGAACTCCTACAGTGAACTGGTCATAAAAAGAAATACTTTAAGCTGTTTCTTTATAGATCATTTCAACAGTAAAGCCAAAACATTTTTAACGAACTGGTCAGTACATTAAAAAATATATCATTAGAACACTGCAGATGCTCCTTCTGACATCATGCTCAATAATTACAACTTTTGGTCTTTGTGATAAATGATGTAAAGTCTCTCTATGAAAAAGGCATGTTCCTCCCATCCCCCAGAAATTAAAACAGTAGGACATTTCAAAGAATAAAAAAAAGGTGAAGGGTTTTAAGAGGCGTTTCTTTTAGCTTGCATGATATAGCCTTTGGACTTGATAATTCCTCTGCTTTTAACAATGACTGAATACCGCAGAATCCATAAAGGAATCCATTCGTGTGCTTTGATGTTCTGGATGCTTTCCTGAAGAACTTCTTGAAAACTTGCTTCACAAAGTAATTCTAAAGTTAAAAAGGAATATTCATGCTTTAAATAATGCCAGACAAACAGCTGCAAAAAGCAACACTTAGTAAGAGAATCTTTTGCCGACAGTGAAAACCTTCAGCAGCATCAGGTATCCACTCCTGAATACATACAAGGGAAATTCCATTCAACATTTCAGAATAAATCTTCAGGACAGCTTTTGCCTTTTAACAAACATTATTTTCCATAGAACCAATAAACAGAATTCCACCACATCTAATGGAGCTGATCAGCAGAGCTACTAGCAAGAAAAAGCAAAAATTAAAGTCAAGACACTAGCTAGACAAATCAGAGAGCAGTAAAGCATGAGGCTGAAATCAGCAAAGTAGTGAGCAGCAGCAGAGTTCTTTTTGCAGCCACAAGAAGCTCAGCCTTTATAGCATTTCCTGTAATGGGACTCATGGGTATAAGCTCAGAAAGCATCAAGGAAAACAAGGATAATTGCTAAAAAGCAGGATGACCAGGAAAATACAAACTCTCCTAGTTTCCTCTGGAAAGTCAGTCAAAGCAACAATCTGATGAGGAGCATTCCCAAAGATAGTCTCAAGACTTTTCAGCTGACCACAACAGAAAAACTAGGCTTTGCAAACAATGCATGAGAAAATGACTCTGCCTTATTTTCAAACAAAATTCTCTTCTTCATTTCATGACTCTTGATTGAGATTAGCTATTAAATCACAGGCTGTGTTTTGGATGTGGAATTTGCCACATTGAATGGCAATTCATCTTGCAGCCTGCTAAGGTGGAACTGACACATTCTCAAGCACCGACGTAACCCATTGGTTTTGACAGTGATACTATAAAGCAGGTACTTAGATAGCATTTCATACAGAGCTGGCTTTTGTTTTTTTGGTTTTGTTTTTAACTTAAGGGGGGGAAGGGAGGAAAGGAGAAGAAAGAAAAAAAAAAAGAAAAAAAAGACAACTGTTGATCAGGAAGAAATGTGTGGGAAAGGAATGAGCAAAGTATCGGTTAAGACTTCAGGCTTACAGTTCCAGCAAGATATTTAAGGTATCATTACAGCAAAGATCTTCTGATGAGTTTTGAGAAATGAATGCAATACTCCAGTATATTCCAGTGAGCTAATAGCTCAGAGTTCTAGAGACTACAGAAAGTCTTAAAAGTCCTTCAACCATTTTATAAACTGCTCTAAACAACTGAAGAATTCAAACAGTTACAGAAAGAATTTGTGAAAGTCATCACAAATGAAAGAATCCATCATGAAGTGTAATAATTTCCTGTTTCCAACATTATGCAAAGATCAACTGACTGACCATCAACGCTCTCATGCAAGATCTCCGCAGAAAAGTTCTGGGCAAGTGGATTTCCATTTGTCATTTACTGCCCTTCACCAAGAACAAAATGAGTTTATGTGATTTATATAAACAAGTTATTTTTGAATGAAGCATAGTAAAAAAAATCTCAGTATTTTGTTCTTATATTTACATTGTTTTTGCCAATTAAAACTATTTCAAAGGACTAACCCATGGTGGAAGACTTGTTGCCTTTGCACCCTCTCTCCCTCCCTCTTCTGGAAGGGAAAGCAAGAACGTAATACTTTGTATTATATAATATCTTGTAAAGATGAACTTTCTAAAATCCTTTTTTCAGGAATCAAATGTAACGAAGTTTGAAGTGCAGAGAAAGATCATTCCTGATTTTGGACTGAATACGTGCATTTAGAAGCCTTTGGTTACCATTACATGTCTGAACACCGCAGAACTGTTAGGCCATCTTGCAAAGTCTTACCTTTCGGGTCATTGTGAGTTAGCAGCTGTATGTCAAACTGTTTTGCAAACGCTGTGAGATCAGGCGGCATCACGCAGCAGGAAGCCAGGTTCACCTGATTGCTACTCGGTTTCACCTGAAAGTAATAGAATGCTTTTGTAAGAAAATACATTGTCATTCTTTGCACCTACGCCTGTATTACAGCGCTTGGACCGATCTGCCTTGACCACTGCTGAGAGCTGAGCAAGGGCAGAAGTTCCACACGTCGATCAACAACCAACTCCAACACCTGCAACTTCCCGCAGCCCGGGGCACAAAACAACATAGGATCTCACTTCAGGTACCATCACAGTGAGGCACATTCTAACCCATCGTGGCTTCCTGTCGATTGTGCTCCCTAAATACCAGAGTATTTCTACCCCCTCTCTGCAGTAAGAATGTTATAGGGGTGTTACTTCAAAAAAGATCTCAAAATTCGGGTTTATTAAGGATATATAATTTGCAGCCTTTCATATAATCAAATAAAACATATCAAGTTAAAAGGGACTTTCCCACTGACTGCTCATCACAGTCTACATCCATGATCACTGTGCAGATGGTTATCAATTCCCTGAACTATCTCAATATACAACAGAGTGAGCAGCATAAAACAGTTTTGTCACGTTCACACATCACAAAAGAAATGCAAGAGCAGTATTCAAAGAACTGATACCAAAACAGTAAATCCCTAAGCTTACACAAGCATGGTCAGATGCTAGTAGTGACCTCTGGCACTCAAGTATGACAAGGCAAGCAGTCACATTGGACAAGCAAACATTATGCTGCTTGATTCAGTCTCTCTTCCTCTTTCAGTTTATGTTTAGCATTCAAGAAGCATCTTCCAAAAGGGAAACCCCTCCAATCTTTGAAGTCCAAACAGCTATAATCAAAACATCACCGGAATAAACCTTAAGGTTTAAGAGTAGTTTTTATGATCCTGTTCATAAGGATGTTCAAAACTAAGCCCCCTACTTCTTCAAATTACTATTACTGAACCCACCCATGGCCTACAGTCCTCGGGGACCTGTTTAGAAAAAACACTGAACAAGTGACAATCACATCTGGAGCGTTCCCCCCATTGAACAACATTATGACAGTCAGTAAGATGCTGAAAATAACTGGAGCCAGTTTTTTTTTTTGTTGTTGTTGTTGTTGTTTTTTAACTATTATAACAAATCATATACACCAAATTATTACAACATGGCAACCAACAAAATTCTGCCATAGAAATGCAATTATGAAGTTTGTTCTCACCTGTGCCCATATGTACAGCTGCTCTAGAAGTGTTTTATCAAGGTCAGAGGTGCCTATGGCAACAATCTTTTTGCTTTCAACTAGAGTTTCAAGTTCTTGCCAATAAGGTTGCAGATACTCCAAAGAAAGATTAGCTCCATCTTCAATAGGAGGTGGAGCAATAATGACCGAATCTAACTGAGCAACTCCAAGGGAAGAACATGCTGAAAAATAACGACAGCAATTTTTTTTTCATGAGGTAAGAACATAAGCAGCATCACATCTCAAATTCAGCAGAAACAACACAGCTGCTGCTTCACTGCTTCCAGTTCACCATTTGAGAATTCTCATTAGAAGCCAAATACCAGTAACACAATTTTCTTAGCCAAGAATCAAACTTACAGATCTAAAATATCACAGTTAGCAGTGAAATTCATAGTGTTGTTAGTTGTTTTTTAACTGGTAAAAACTCACTGTATCATTGTTACAAAAACACCACACGCTTCTCACTATTTAATAAGATCTGTGTGAAGGAATAAGAACTTGCTCCTCCCTGGAGCAAAGAATCAAACTTGAGTTTTTACAGAGATGCACATTTAGTAAGTTTACTGACTGAAATAATGCATAAATTATACTTGACTACTTACACTTCTCTTTAAAGGAAAAGAGCATATACTTGCAACGGTCATTAAATACATCTCAAGTGGAAAAAATGTCCTAATTTTAGATCTAAATACTGAAGTAAAAGAAGTAAAAAAGCCTTGAAGTTCAAGTTTCACACTTACCCATGTCCACTGCATCTCTGATTGATGAAGAGCTTGATCCAACAATGAAAAGTTTTGCTGTTTTCAAAGAAACAAATCCATAACTGAACAAGCCAGCAATTACTAAATATGCAGCATATACAGCAGTAGCAAATAGCTATTTAAGAGCTCTTGGTAAGGGCTTGTAAGAGTATTCATCAGTTCAAAAATCTGAAAAAATTCTGGAACGTAACTGCCCCAAAACAACACTGGTCTCTTAAATTTGAGAGTTGCACAGTCTGAGAATAAGAACTCATCCAATTAGGGGCCCAGTAAGCTGTAAAGCTGGGACAGCAGTACAAAGATTTCTTCAGAACTTACTCAAGTTGGGATGTCCTAGCGTTAGTTTGGACTTCCTCCAAGTTCATCACATTTGACCTGGCACAGTTATGCAAATAAATGTGCTTCCAATGTTTTTTCTTCACTGTAGCATTATCTGTGATAATTTGCTACAGCAAAGTCAAAGATTCACAAAATATTTTTTTAATGTCCCAATGGGATGAAAATTAAAGTAGAAAAATGATGAGCAGCTTTAAAACCTGAAACATGTTTGGGTCTTTCTCAGCTAACTGATGTAAGCATGACAGTGAGCACTGACGACATTTGACTTAGCCATTACAAAGCAAGAAGAAAAAAATATATACATGTGAATTTCCTACTAAAAACAGCATATGAAACCCTTTCATCCAACCAGATTTTTAAAAAAAATCTGCATTCTTACCTGATACTTTCAGTTCATCCCTTTCTTCAGGATTCATTTTTTCTACAGCTTGAGCTACAGTACATTCCAGAACCTCTGCCATTTCCTTTAGAAATCACATGAGACAACTTGTCAATAGGTGACAGTAAGTTTCTGAACACTATTGTTAATTCAAACACAATTCCATAACAAAAACCTTACAGAAACAGACGTAGCATAAAAGTGCAGTTACACAAAAACAAAGTAACACAGCACCTCTTGACCTATGTGAAGTCAGAGGAAAATACTGTATGACAAAAAAAGAAATACAACCCAAAACAAACAACCACACACAACATATATATTGATAGGAATTACATATATATTAATACAAATTACTGGAACAACATTTAGGAGTAATTTGCTTTTCGGATGTAAAGAGACCACTATGGCAAACTACCTTCCTAAACAAAGCAAGCAAAGAAACCCAACAGCTTCCTCAGCTGAGAATTCTTATTTCCCCATCAACAGGATTCTTTACTCAGTGAATCTCAAGAGGCTAAGAAATATCACACATAAAAACAAACAGAGGAAAAGCAACCAAAAAGGAGGGTTGAGAAATACTATTTAAGGTATCTGGAGCTGCAGACATTCATAAAATTTCAGTAGATTCATTCATATTTTAAAAGTACGTATTTGTGTTCAAAAGGTGCACAGTCTCTCCTACCTGATTCTGATCTCTTCCAACCTTTGAGCTCCATTCAGTCAGTGTTTTCTGAATGCAGTCCCGCACCTAAAAAATATTTTGATATTCAGGTGCGTTTATGTTTCAGTTGCATAGAAATACAATGATTCACAGACATATGGCAGACAGCAGGTAAACTCGTGATCCAATTTCTTCAACCACAAATGATTCTTCTTCCATAGTTTCCACACGAAACTTGTTCAAGCAAGCTAACTCTAGAAGAATTCTCCTCTTTCAAAGAGTTTTAGCAGTAACACAAGTACCGTACTTCATTTATTTCTGACCAACACCATCCTAAAAAGAATTGTATGCAAGAAATAGAGGCCTACATTGCGGGTGGTTTTTTTTTTTTTTTTTTTTTAATGCAGAGGTTATTTAGTTGCAAAGTAAACAGATAATAGCATATGTGCTGTAACAACATTACAGTCACTTATTACATTCATAACCTCTCTTTCCAAGGTGCAACCCTTTTCCACCTTCTTATTCCATTGTATAAAATTTCTAGGACGATCCTTTAGATCCTACCTTCAGTTGCACTTTTCCTTCTTCCAGATGTGAAATAGATCTGGTAACAGTTCTGACTATGAATATGAATAGGTTTGCCTTGCTACACTCATTAAGCCTCAGTAAGCTAATTAACAAACTGAATATTGCACCAGTGCTTCAGCTGTACCTGTACCCTTCCCTCTAACATGCCACCCTGCAGACTAATGCTATGCACTGTCAGACTGTCTGCTGTGAGAGAAGCACTCCAAAAGCCCATGTTGCTGAAAGGGCAGTAAAGCATTTTATATCGTGCAAATACCTTCTTATATCTCTGAATAGCAGTTTCCTGGGACAACTAACACGAACTCAGAACCCATTACACTCCACACCAAGGCCAATGCTCTAAAGGGAGCCTACAAAGAGGAGGGGAATCAACTCTTTGAAAGGGTTGATAACTGCAGAGCAAGGGGAAATGGTTTTAAGTTGAGGGAGGGGAGATTTAGGTTGGATGCCGGGGGAAATTCTTTACTATGAGAGCGGTGAGGTGCTGGAACAGGCTGCACAGAGAGGGTTTGGATGCCCCATTCCTGGAGGTGTTCAAGGCCAGGTCGGATGGGGCCCTGGGCAGCCTGGTCTAGTATTAAATGGGGAGGTTGGTGGCCCTGCATGTGGCAGGGGTTTGGAGATTCATGATCCTTGAGGTCCCTTCCAACCCTGGCCATTCTGTGATACCACCATACAGGAATCCAACGCCAAAAAGACAAGACATAATCCTGTAAGAACACTATGTGTGACACTTAAAACGTGAGGAATAAACTAATTGACTCAAAAGTCAAGAACTGACTTCACTAAGCAGCTATCCATGATGCTAGAATTCTTTATGTTCCCATCAACATGGGCAATCTTCTCCTGTCTGAAGAAAAGTGCAGGACTGCTCAAGATGTATATCCCATTTCTACTACTTTGCCACTCCCTGTTGCTGCAGTGCTGGGTTGAACAAAGCTCTGTCCCCAGGGCACACCGCCTCCTCCCAGCACAGTGAGGCACACAGTGCGCCCTGCGCCTCTGAGCAGCACAGCGGTTATAGCGCACTGCTACCAGTCCTACAGTTCATTCTTCTCAACGTTCTGCTTCTGTTCTCACACTAGGAACACCACACACTGCCACACTAAGCAGAATAGATTAAAACTCACTTATTTCTGATAAATTATGCTGGTTTTGGAATTCCAGCAATGCCAGCAAGTTGGCAGCCTTATGTTTAAATGAAAACGTCTCTGCAATCAAATGTCCAGAAATACCCCAACGGACCAGCTATGCACACCGCCACTCTTCAATAACCTTCCAGATGGTACTGACACCATTTGCTGGTGATGGGGGGGGGGCTGCAGCATCCTCTTAGCTGCTAGATCTATTTCACATGGGCCAGAGCAATCAGTAATGGGGCCAAAATAGGAGCCATTACTTCACAACATCCACATAAAAGTACGAGGAACTCTTCCTTGGTATCGCGTTGCCTTTCCGCGTGGTCACCACTCCCATGGTCTGTGTGCAGTCACACACTCAGCCAACTTATAACACAGCATCATGTCAGTGCAGCTCTAAGCAGCTCTGCTGAGTGCATGAGGTCAAGTTTCAGGCACCTGGTCGGACAGCAAAGCAGGAGCTCTGTAGTCCACAGCCACAGGATGCTCCAGTTGGCTAGAATGATTGCAGGTGATGACATCCAGCGCTAGAGGTAATGGCTTTTCAAAAGTACATTTAAAAACAGCAGATCACTTTAGTCTTCAAAGAAGACATCAGCGACTGCACTTCGCCTAAACTTGTCACCGTCACTGAAGCATTAAAATGATTCTAAGTTGGAAAGGAGAACCTCACTGCTTGAAATGAGGGTTTGCGTCACGTCATTCTCCTGAACGAAGCACGAGGAACCCCCTCGCCTTACAGCCTGATTCCCCGAGACCAGACGCACGACGTGGTTTCATCAGGCGCAGCCTCAACCACCACAGCTTACCAGCCCCGGCGCTGCCCTCAAGGCGGACAGCACTTCACCGGCCGCTCGGCCCGACGCGTTTCGACGCAGCCGCTCCAGGCTCACGGGACCAGCCCCACCCCCAGCCCGAACGCCGCCGGCCCGGCCCGCACCGCGCAGCGGCCGCTGCAACGCCGCCGCGCCGTCTGTGTTTCTCACGGCGGCGGCGGGGAGGCACGGCCTGCCGCATCGCGTCGCCCTTGCTAACGGGCGCTCGGAAAGCGAGCGGACGAAGTCCCGAAGGTCGGCTGTATCTCCACAGACGCGCCGGCGGAGGGCCCCCAGCGCTCCCTCAGGCGCCGGCCCGCAGCCTCCCGCCGCAGGGCCCCTGACGGCCCGGGGCCGCCCGCTCACCTCCTCGCTGGGGGTGGCGGGGCACTTCTTGCGGCCGCAGCCCCAGCTCAGCAGGTTGCCGGTCTGCAGGTTGAGGGTGTCCGCTCGCTCCAGCAGAGCACGGGCGCCTTCCGTCTCCATGGCGAAGCCTCGCGCTGCAGCGGCACCGAGGGGCGCCGTGACTCAGCAGGCGGAGCGGCGGGCGGCCCGCGCTTTGTAACCGCCCGCGGTCACATGGCGCGAGGACAATGGGCGGCGGGGCGGAGCGGGGAGGGCCCGGCCTGGGAGGCAGCGCGCACCGAGCGCCGCTCGCTCCGCCGTCGCAGCCTCACGCGTGCCGGCGGGGCGGAGCGAGAGGTCGAGGCGGGCGGCCGCCCCGCTCCCTGCGGACGGTGGCCGGCTGCGGCCGCTGAACCAATGGCGCTCGTTTAGCTCGCGGAAATCGCCGCGGCCATGCGAGGTTCGGTCGCGGCGCCGTGAGTAATGCGTGGGGATCCAGAGAAGACGAGCAAGGAGCCCTCAGAGGAACCGGGTGCCCGTTTGGTTCTGTCGTGCTTTCTTTCGGATGAAACTTAAAACGCAGTGCAGCGACGTCACGGCGGTTCCGCAGCAGCCGTGACAGCGAGCGCGCCGCCGATTTGCGAAAGCACGGATTTTATTCCATAAACCACAAAAACCCGGAGCGCCGCGCGACCCGGCGCTGCGTCCCGCACTCACGACGGCCCCGGCGAGGAGCGCACCCCGCAGCACCGCCCCCGAGCGGAACCGAACGTCGCGATATCCGCACGGCCGAGCAAGAGAAGCCGCACGCTCCGGCCCGGCGGCGAAGCTGCTGCTTCGCGCTTCCCGGGGCGGGGCGGGGCGGGGCCAGAAGGGGCGGAGCCCGACGGGGCGGGGCCGGGCGCTCCCGCTCGCCGCGGGTCCCCTCCGCGGGGCCGGCGCCGCCCGATCGGCAGCGGCGCGAGGCCGGGGACGGCGCCGCGGCGGCGCGCAGGATGGGCGGCAGGGCCGGCTTCTTCGAGGTGGGTGCGGGCGGCGGCCGTGCCGGTGGGTGAGCCCGCAGAGACGGCCGCCGGCGAAGGGGCGGCCGGGAACCCGGCGGGCCGGGAGCAGTCTCATCCGCAGTGAGGCGCCGGGAGCCGGAGCCACCGCTTAGCGGTGCTCCTTGCGGGGAGCCGCGGGGCGGATCTCCGGGCCGCTTCTAGCGGCGATACCCAGCCGCGCCGGGCGGGCCGGAGGCGGCGAGGAACCCTCTCGGTACCCGGCGTCCTCCCCTTTTGTGCGGGGTCGCGTTCGCGCTCTGAGAGGGACGCGCGGTGCCGTCGGCGGGCGCTGCGTCCGTTCGTCTGCTTGTGCGTGCGGGGTGAGATGGACCTGGAGGGCCGGAAGGGAGACGGACCCACTCTCCGCGAGGACGAGACTGGCTAATGCAAAGATCCCTAGCGGTGCCCGTATTACACAGCCAGGCGGTGCTGGCTAAATGCCAGCTGCCCTGTGGTTCTGCGGGCTCGCGCTTGGTGTGCTCCAGCGCAAGACTCAACTAAAAACGCATTTCACCCAGTGCAAAATACACAAAATAACAAAACAGTTGTTACTGTAACATTAACGGTCTCTAAAACAAGAGAAAAGAGCCTGCTTCTGCGCAGCCTAGAAGTTGAGATGTTGCTTTTCAAAGGGATAAAAGTTTTTTGGATGTCACACTCGACGCACTGAGCTGTTTGTAGCTGCATTGGGAGAGAGGTGGGTGCCCACTCTGCCTCTTCCCTGCAATGCTGACCTCCCAAGTTTTTAGGAAAAATGCCCAATCTTGTCACTGCCTCCTGCATTTCTACTGGTGTCCCACAGTCTTGAGAAATCCAGATGCAGGAGCAGGCACTCAGCGGATGCCTCTCAATGTCCTCACTGTCTGACCTGCAGTTTGGTCTCCTGCTCCCATTGTACCAAGCTTCTTTATAACACCCATTACTCTAAAGTGGGGACAAAGGTGAGAAAGTAGAATAATTTGCTCCACTCCACTGGGCAGAACGGAGCAGCAGAGCCTGCTCTTGGTGTCTAATCAATATCCTCTGTCAAAGCAACGCTAATGTAAATTCGGACATCTCATGAATTTACATGCCAGCTTTGTTTCTTAGTCCTCTTCTCTGCATAGCAGATAATGGGCACAAGCAGATGTGCCTGAAGTCATGCAGTGTGTGTCAGAGCAGACCCAAGGTGTGGCACTGGACAGGGCAGCGCGGGGTGCTGCTGCCTATGGCTTCCTGCGCTGTTCTCACTTATTTGCTTTCGCTTACAAGTTCAAGGTCGCTCGGTATGCTGAATTGCACTTCCTCAGCAAACATCTGAAACTGAGTTATCAAAACCAGAAGATGAATGTTCCACCACTCCCAAGAGTTCATAAGAGAAAAAAAATCTCTACTGATATCACAAGTGGTAATATTCCCTATTTTGGATTAGTGTGCAATTCTATACATATCTCTGTATATCTCAAAACCTTTTGCCCTTTATTGCTTCTCTGTGGTGCCTCCTTGTAAGAATTACAGAGCACTTTGCAAACACCAAACTCTTGCTCTCTGACCTTTTTCTAATATGACAGTTACAAGTTTAGCAGAGATTTATCAGAATTGGAATATTCCTGTTTGGGGGCATTTTATCAAGGCCAGTATGTAATCAATTTCATATTGAGTATGTGGGAAAGTTCTCTCCCTTACCCATAAATGGACCTACAAAAAGATGGGCAAGAGCATGAGACTACTTGTGATCAGACACTGGCTGTTAATTCTTTTACAAGAGTATTTCTTACTGCTGCTGAAGACTTCCAAAATAGGGAACGTATTAATATGACTTTGAAGAAGCCAGTAGTAGAAAGGTAGATGGAATTTTGGAATCACCTTAAACCTTTTTCTTTGAATTGGCTATGTTCAGAGTTCAGTGCCAAGAACTATGAGCAACAACTAAATTAAGCCCAAGTATGCTGGATCTAATGGATCAGCACAAAAAGTCCAGACGGGCAGAGTGATTTGCCTCTACTTACAAGAAGTCTGCATTAGAACTGATAGATGGTCAGGTCCCCTGCACTCCTAGACCCACGTCTAGATGACTGCCTGCATACTTCTTGTTCTGCAGTAATGCTACAGTGGGTCTTGTTTGGGTGCTGGTATGTTTATCATTTCATCTCACAGCTGTTTTATCACTAATAGCTCAGAAGAAAAGTAGCAAGAACAGTTACTGTTCAGAGCCGTGTGCATGCCTGACAGTACTGGAGAAAGATTCATTGCCCAGAATGTAGAGATTTATGACTGGTATCTAGATAACTGATGTTTTCTAGGACTGCTCATTTATCTAAATTGATTAGAAAATAACTCTTCTGCCTATTTTAGATGTGATTCTAAGCTTATGATATGACTGATCCTGGAAGTGCCAGCTTTTCTCCTTTCCCTACAAAGGGTTTATATGAGATGCTCAGACATAAATATCTGTAGCACAGAGCTCTGAAGTTAGGCTGATGAATTCTACTCTTTTTTTTCTTTCTGTTTAACAGGTTTAGGTCTTCAAAAGCATCGCATGTAGGAAAAACAGAATGGTCCTCTGTCTTCCTAGAGGAAATATGCTTAAGCAAATACTGTAGAGAATCAGTATCGTAAGAAATTCAGTTGTAATTTTGCTTCCTTAACTAGTTTGGACGGGAAGTGCCTTTTGTAAGCAGTTCTAACCAGAAATGTTTTGGAGTCTTCATTCCCCGAGGATAGACTGAGCTGACATATGCAGTACTGCTAAAAGCAATAATGTACTGCCTCCCTCCTCCCCCCTGTCCTTGCTGGCATTTAAATTTTCTCCCCCTTCTGACTGTGATGAAAACCTTCTGAATGCAGGGGGATGGCTGCTGCCTGGCCAGCATTGCTGAGATGTCGCAGCTCCTGTTACAAAGGCTTCTTCCACTCAGCGCTATGCTGTCTAGAGCCTCACCAAGTAGAGACACTGAGAGCAAGTGCCAAAAGCAGGACTGCAGAAGATTTTAAGATTCTGTATTCTCCAAGAGCTGCCCAAGCAAGACAAGGCCATGTGTGAGATGTTTCAACAGTCATTTAAAGGGAGACTGCAGAAAATTGCCCTGCCATTTGAAAATGTCATCTGCTTTCGCAAGTAACACATACAATTATCATCACAGAAAGATGAGAATATGGGGAAAAACATTTTCCCTTTCTCTTCTCTCATCCGTTCTCCATATCCAAAACACTTTGTACAGACAGCTGTGTTGCTTCATTTAAGAGATGGGCAATTTGTTCTTTTTCTTCATGGAACTTAAGAGAGAAACTCTAAATTTTGTAGAGGGAAATGTGACAATAAAATGTTACTTGGCAGGGAGTACCTGGAGCCATTCAGGGTTTGAAGGCTGCTTTTGAAAGCTAAAGTCTTATTTTAGAGACAATAATGGACTTATTTGAAGTATATTTTATAAACTAGATGTGATTAAAAAAACCACAGCCCCCTCCTCCCTTCAGTCTCTTCAATTCCATGTTTGACGTGTACCCTGGATTTACATTTTCACATTCATCCACCAAATGATTCGTGAAAAGTAGTAATGGAACTATAGATACTGAAGTTCAATATTGCAAATCACAGTGCTGATTCAAAGAAATGACTGTGTTTTCACAAAGAATTTATAAGCCTCTTCTACCTGAATATTGCCACTGTGGAAAATAATCACTATGAACTAGAGCCCTGAGCTATAGATAGTCTCTTTTTCCACACGTAAAAGGCTAGGAAGTGCTGTTGAAAAGCCTGGATATCTACTTAGTATTGCATCAAAACTGACTTAGATTCTCAGATGGAAGCATTCCAGCCTGCTTAATAGTGACAGTGATACTCAGTGAATGATGTGAGTCTTCAGCATGACTGGGAAATTGGCAATGTGCAGCCCTGTGTTAGCCAGGGCAAGAAAATACCCACTGAGTCAGAATTAACTGGTGCAGGTCACTTTCCCATCTTGTGTATCCTCTTGGAAGATATCATGGTAACAAAAACTGGAAAGCTTTCATAGGCTTTCAGGAGTCAGAATTCACTGTAATAACCTCTAACACACAAAACTCTAACAGCTTGTTTGTTTGTTTGTTTGTTTTTTGGAGAGGGGACAAAAATTCAGCCTCCCACTCCAAGGGAATAAAGTGTTATTTTCCTTCCTGACTTATTCTTACAGACTGTTTCAATCAGTTATATAAATGGCTTTCTCATTCTCAAGGATGACTGTAGCCCTACAATTGTTGCCCTTCACAGGCCCAAATCAAGAAAGCAAACTAAGCTTGCCACGCAGTCACGTGAGGCACCCAGCTCCAAGAGTGGTTACGACAATTTGCTTAAGCTATCCATCCAAGTTTACTTCAGCTCCAGCCCTTCACTGGGTGGTATATCAGAAGGTATCAGCTGCAGGGAAAGGATGCACAGAATGACAGTGGAAGGAAGCGATGCTTAAAGCAATCCAGAAAGATGGGGATTTAGGATTTCTCCTTGGTAGAAGATTCTGGCTTTTTACTGGAAAACATTCCTGCCCTTTCCTGTCTGTACTTTTTGGTCTCCTGAATCCTTTACTCCTTGGTGGCCCAGATTCTATGAGAGGAGTTGGTAATGGTATAGAAGACAGTCTATAGCACGTTTCCGTTTCTTGGCTGTGTGTCTAACCATTATATATAAAGCATGAAGGACCACATCACCTTCTTCGCAATAGCTTCTTTTCATTCAGAATTAATTTAAATGCTGTGCTTCGTGCTGACCTTGGAATGATGCTGCTACTGGATCAAGGTCCTTAAGGGTTTACATGCAAGCATGCCTAGCTAACAAGTCTGAAACAGGTGGAAGAAATAGAAAGATAGTGAGTTTCAGTACATTCCAGATGATTGTTCTCGTGAGCACACATAGGAGCAGAATTTAGGAGGCTGAGCAGTAAAACACCTGGTGTGTATTTTGTGAACTTGTGCACGTTAGACATCTGCTTTATGAAAGAGAAATTTAATTGTCCAAGTGTCACTGCATCTCCTTTTTTAAACTAGGTGAAATAGTAATAAGATGCTAGTTTCATGAAATATGAGCTCTTCAGAGAGGTAAGGCTTTATCTAGTTGAACTGACAGAGTAATTGTTCTTAACAGATTAGCATGAAATTTGGCTTTGTGGTAATGACTGAAAACTACAGCAGTTTCCCCTTGGCTTAACTCTAATGACTTAAAGAAAGTTATTTCCAATATGCCCTAGTGAGAAATCACACTGAGCCATGTCTGCTTCCTTCATAAAAAACACAGTATTCCAGAAAATTCTAAGAGAATAGAGAAAATGACTAATACTATAGGAAGAATAAAATGTTTAGAAAGATATAGTTGGGACTGTGGCAACCACTGATTTGTTTTTTTTGGGGGGGTGGTTGAATTAAAGGACCCTCACTGATACAAGCAGTCCAATAGTTCAGGGATAATTCTTTCGTTTTGCATAGCTCTCTCTTGGGCTGCTTGGCTCCTAGGCTGTAAAATAAGCAGGTTTTGGGCTGGTTTTTTTTTTTTTTTCTTAACTTAAAAATAAACCAATACAATACATGCTTATGTTGGTGTTCAAAAAATCTCTCTAAGCTGAAGTTTGGAGTTTACTGAATCTGCTGAGTACAAATGACTGCAAATTATGCTTCCAACATGCAGAAACATGATGTGTCAGTACTTCTTTAAAAGTTACTCACATCACTTTTGAATATCTGTTGATTAAACTGAGAGAAATTGATTTATTGTATTTTTGTAATCCTATTAGAGACAGCATCTTAAAAAAAAAAAAAAAAGTTTGCTCAACCATTTTTCCCCTATGGATAAACTTTCTAATCTTCTGAATAAATATCTAACACTTGAAAGTAGTTTTCTTGGCTTTTATCATAAATTGATTACTTTGATTTTGACCTGTACTAAGCAATCATTCCGAATTTTTCTCTGCCTTTCAAGACACTATCAATCTTTGCTCCTTATTCATGAGAACAAATTTGGCTCCTCAACATTGAAGGTATGTACCTGTAGTCACTTCTAGAAGTGCTTTAACTAACAGGTATCTTGCACAAATCTGCCTACTGATTAAATTCTATTCAAAATAGTTTTAGAGAAGTGGTAATTCAAAATGCCTTCAAAAATTCACCAAATAAGTGTTTTGCAAGTCACACCACGCTAGTGCAAATCAATTGTCAGCATCCTATTCTGCTAAACTCTTTAAGAATACTTCAAAATTAAAATTCTCTGAGCCATAAATTTTTGTTTAAGAGAGCTGGTATCCATCAGTAAGCGTTCCAAGAACAGATTGCTGGGTATCTAAAGACTGCTGCCAACCAGTACATTAACTGACTTGGTGCTGTGCCTCAAGACTGGAAACACTGTGTTCAGTGCTATCTAGGTTCATGTGGCTGGCCATTATGTTCAGAAAAATAACATTTCTTAGTTTGGATCAGTCTTTTCTGTCTGTTTTGCAGAGAACAGCTAACTACTGTGGGGGCATTTTGTCACAGATTAGAGGCATGATAGTTAAAGGAAACGGTTTACTTTGCTTTCACTCTTTTGTCATACAGATTTCTGCAGGCTGGAATGGAATCTACAGCTGTGTTCTTGTGTTCCTCTTTCTGAAAGGGGAAAGCATGTATATTTGCTTAGATCCTGAAAGTAACCGATAGTAACCAAAATATTTCAAGTTCGGGAAGGACTGCCCAAAAATACCTCAACATTGAATAACAGAGGTTGCAAGGGACTTCTGGAAGTCATGTAGTCCAACTGTTGCTCAAAGCAGATGCAGCTAGATCAGACTGCACTGGGTCTTGTCCAGCCCAGTTTTAAATACCTCCAAAGGCAGAAATAGTACCTTGCCCCTAGGCTACCTGGTCAAATATTGGGCCATTTTCTTTGTATCTGATTGGAATTTCCCATATTGCAGCTGTTGGCCATTGCATCTCATCATTGACAACACATCTTCAAAAAAGTTTGGATCCATCATATAGGCTTCTATTACGTTTTTTAAGAAATGGGCTGATACAGGAAGGTATGCCAGTTTGGCACTTCAAAGAGACATCTTGCAATTAAACCAAACAGGAATACAGAAGATCCTGGATTATTTTGTTGTTATTTGTTTGTTTTTGTTTGCTTCTTTCCCATACTGATTCCAATGGTTCACAGAAATACCAGAATTTCTGCATAGCTTCCCCCAGGAAGAACACAGAGCAAAAGAAAATGTTTTGTAATTTTCTGTCTGGCCTTGTGCAAAATGAGAGTAAACTAATTAGAAGAGCATAAGTGGCAGAAAGATGGCCAGCCTGCTCTGTAATTGGCCTGGAGAGGACTTCTCTAATATGGACACTGAAAGTCATAGAATAGAACTGCCTGGGTAGAGATTCCAATCCAATATGCATATGCTGTCCCTGGGTATGGAATGAGGAGGAGGCTTCTAAGTTACTCACTGCTGTAGTCAGTAGGGCTGCCCAGTGGTGTTTTTTGATACAAAAACTTTGAGATACACCAGAGGTTTCAATAAACCTTGTAGTAACTCAGCATTTCAAGGGACAAAAATGAGTTTACAGCCCCCATAGTACCTGTTCTGTGGCTTGTGAGAGTCAGAATACTGTAGGTCAGTATTGCAGAATAACACAATTCACTTTGTTTGCTTTCCCACAGGGATCTCCCACAGAGGCAGTAACTCTTGTAATCTACATCGTTTCAAATATGTATTTAAACGACAACAACAACCAGCAACAAAGAGAGAAATACATAATACCCCAATGTGGCTTACATTCTTCATGAACTGCAAAGGAGGAGAAGTGCTCACCTCCCTTGGCACTTCCTTTGGAGCTTACAGGGTGCAGGTGGAAAATACTACTGCATTAGTATCCCTTGTGGGATGAGATCTGATACTACTGGCTGGAGCTGAAGTGCTTCATTGCTACACTAAAAGAGAAAGAACAATTTGGGACAAGTAAAAGGGGGAAACAAGACACTCTAACTGAGTGATCTCTTCAAAGAAACTGTCAGAAAGATACTGGACTGTGACTCCTATTTTTAGCCAGGAGTCATACTTAAAGTCTACCGTTAATCTGTCCTCTTGGTCAGTTAATACCAAACGTAATTAATGGTAGATATTATAAAAATAAACAAAACCAAAGAGCAAAACCCAAACTGAGTAATGATAGCCACAGTCATTTAGTGTGACAGATAAGCTTTGATCCTTCAAACTTAGTAATGGACCCTGTGGTACAGCTAAGTGTTTGATGGAAACAAATGGAATTAAAACACAACCAGTGTATTGTAAGAGCCTGCTGTAACTGGACTCCTAAAATCTTTTGCCAAAATGTCATTTGATCATCAAAACAGTCTACTCTATCCTTGTCTCAGCTGCTTGGAATATAAAATGCTGATACGCAGTTTGTAATACAGGTGATCTGAGAGGCAAGAATAACATAATATCACATACAATGCTGCATGTATCACGATGATGTGTGAAGTCTCCATTTTTAGCTGCATTTGTTCATTATGTCATTTGAGGTTTTTTACTCTCTTCACAATTAACAAATTCCAGGAACAATGCACGGTAATCTTCATTCTATACATATTCAAAATATTTGCTTACATGCATGTAGTGCACATTTACATTTCTTCTTGAATTGTCTCATTTTACAAATCAGAACAATTCTGAAGACAAATTTGTTCCTTAATGATTTGCGTGAAACTTCTCTTTATTTGCTCTTTTTGTTTTAGTTTAAGAGAACATCCCTGAATATGCATCTTTTGGTCAGTAAATTAGCTACTACTGCTTCTGAATTTATCCATGAAGACAACTTATTTGTCAAGTGTTACTTTTGTCACAAATTGAGTTATTTGAGATCCTGTCTCTGATTAAAGCTGTCTCTTGAGCACATTAGAATTGCTTCTCACATGTAGATCATAGAAAAATGGTATCTCATTCTGAATAGTGATTGTGAATTTGAGAGTCAACTAAGAGTTTAGATATTATGCAGTCAGTAATTAATGATTATTGTTTTGTGTCCTATCAGGTGGAAATCCTTGACTGGAAGACAAAGGAACAATTATGCTTCTTAGATAAGGTAAAATAAAAACCTGCTCAAAACATTAGGTGACTATTTACAAATTGCTAGCTCTTTTTAAAGCAAAGTTAATGTTTGCGAAAAGTATTTTGACAGCCCTTCTTTGGCATTAAGGAGACAATAACTGTTCATGCTTCATATGCTTCGTACTCATACCTCTTGTGCAAAGAGCACAATTTCACTTGCTTCTCTAAGATGGTGCCAGTTGTCCCTTACTCATTTAGAAGCCATCAAACTGTCACTGCTGCTGTAGTAACACTGAGTACTGCCACAGTAGCTGCCTCTGAAACAGATGTCACAAATCAGGTCCTCCACTTTTCCTGTAAGAAGTGTTTTGAATCATTCATACCAATCCTAACAGCTGTCTTTAAAAATACGTATCTTACATACGTATATATATATATACATATATATAAATATGTTCTTTTTTGCCTAGGTGGAACCAAATGCTACAATTAGGGAGATAAGATCAATGTTCCATAAATTATGTGAGTATAACTTTTGCAACAGTTTGTATTGCATCAGAATATCCAGTATATAAATAAGAAAAAATTATATAAGGTGAAACGTGATGCATATGCACATTAGAGGCTAGAACTAGATGATCTTTACAGCCTCTTCCAACACAGGCCATTCTGTGATTTTATGACAATGTGAGGTAATCTGCACATGAATGTGATCATAGTGAGATTTCAATACAATTTTTATACTAGCCTGATACACCTTCCTAAATATCTTCAAATAAATCTGTGTTGTGTTTCATTCATTGTAACAGTGGATAATTTATAAGAAACATTGTATATCACAAAATTCTTCATGGTTTTACAGATCCCCAGTGGTATCCAGCAAGACAGTCAATAAAACTTGATCCAAGTAAGTACCTGTGAAGACTAGAGTAATAAAGCTCTGAGCAGTGGCCTCACGTGAAAGGTGTACTTTGAATGGGCATCAGCTCTTAAAAATGAGTTTCAAGCTATGTTACTTAGTACTGTGAAGGCTGAAGAGGCTCCAAAACAAATTCAGTTCTTTCAAAGTACTGAAAAGAGTTCCATCCATCCACTTGGTAATTAACTCAGGAACCTGCATATTGCTCCAATGCATTTTATAACTACTGAGAACATTTGTTTTAAAGCACAGATTCTTGACAGTAATTTCCCCTAGCTTCAGTGAAACGATCCCCATAGTGACGCTAAACTGGGAGCACTAAGGAGTTGCAGATATTAATTCATTTTATCCTCTCTGCTCTTAGCCAGGAATTGAAATTCCTTTGAAGTAAGCAAATACAAAACATATTGCCACAAATGTTCTGACAAATCTTGATGACAGGTGGTTGACTGGTTTAATGGAGTTGCAGGTATCACTGCTGGAAGCCTCATAGTACATGGCCTGGGTGCACAAAAGATAGTTTAATTGACAAATTACATTAAATCATATTAGCATTTAGTATAAAATCTATCACTTTGTTCTTCTGCTTTTATTGAGCTTAATTTGATTTATATATTCCCTTTAAAATTACGCTGGTGATGATTAGTTCATCATGTAGAATCTATCCATAGCAAACAGGTATATAAGTGCCTTATTTCCTTCTTAAAAGATCTACGTTTTCAGATTCCTCCAAATCCAGGTGTTAAAAAACTTGCGCACCAGCGTAGTTCCTGTGGAATCATCTCTTGGCTGATTGTTTGGAAAACAAACAAACAAACAAACAAACAAAAAACTGGTAATCAAACCTCTGTAGGAGGGCCTTCCCTTTACAGCTTATCCCATCTGGGTGTCTGTTGATGAGCAATGAGAAGCTGGCAAGAGAGAGATGGAGGTGAAGCTGACCAAGTCAGTGAACTATACTAAAGGGCAGTGTCCCATCAGCAAATTCTGCTGTAGCAGTGATGAAGCAAGTCTACCAGACTAGGCAGACAGATAGGACTGGGAATTCTTCTGTCTTGGTGTGAATAGAGGACCTAGATTTACACGTGATCCCAGGGATAATTCAAAGCTAAGTGTAAACTTTCTTAATATTTTTTTAAACTTCGATTCCAATAAACTTATGCCAGGTCAAAGAATCTTAGTCTTTTAAAAGCACAATATGAAGCTAGTTTGCTAGTGTAGTTGATTTGAATTTCACTGAGATGTAATTACCTCTTTCCTTCTCAGAAGGAAAGTCCCTGAGGAATGAGGAAATCCTGCAGCACCTCCCTGTTGGCACAACTGCTACTTTATACTTTAAAGATTTAGGGCCACAGATAGGATGGACTACGGTGAGCTATGCTTCAAATCTGAGCCAATTTAATGGCTGTTTTTCCATAATTAATCTTTACATCACTTTTTGTCTCACTCCAGTATTTCTGCATGACGCCTGCTCTGACAGTGGATGCAGGCAATGAACCCTCATTGCTTCAGTTCATTTTATCCAGGGAAAGCAGCAAGAAAACATTTTGAATGTCTAGTTCCCTAGAAGGGCAGCAGAGGAAAACTTGCTACTCGGTTAGTTTGGCTGTGCTGAAATAAGGTGCAGGTTCTCAAATGGATTTAGATGTCTAATCACTAGGAACTAAGTATCTAAATTCCTGTGCAACCCTCCTGACAGAGATAAAGATTATACTCCAAGGTTGTCCTGCAAAGAGGCATCTGAGAAACTTACCTGTCAGTAATTGAGCTGACTTCAGCAGGAAAATGCATGAAAGTAAAATTAGTTAGTTGTATATGGCTGTGTCCCAGGATGCTAATGCCAGGCTAATGAAAGCTGATCATTTCTATAATCCACGAAGATCTCACGTTTACTCTCTCAGCTCAAAGACAGGTCCCATCACAACTCACACAGCAGGTGACACTGCATTCATGTTTATGCAATGAGGTGATCAACGACTTTTGAAGGTTCTTCAGAAAGTCCATAGTGCACATATTAGCACTACTTCTAACAAAACAGCACAGCACAAAGGGTAAAAGGTACCCAGTAATTTAGAGACACATTTACTATTTCTTATCTATGAAAAATTAACAAAATACTGTGTCAGTGACAAATAGGTAGATTCACAGGAGACAAAACAAAACAAAACAAAACAAAAAAAACCCCTACAAGTCTGAATCTTTAGATCAATTCTTTGGATGCTATGCTGATAAGTAAGGCAGCTGATGCACAAACCATGAGTCAGTAAGAAGAGAAAACTAATGACAGTGTAGACTCCAAAACACATGTACTTGAATATATACCAAAATATCACACACCAGACTTCTTCCAATCCATTATTCTTCTTTTACCCTTTTCTCTCTCTCTCCTTCAACCTACTTCAGTCAGATGTAAGCCAAGAAATGCTTTGATAAAAATAAAATTAACAACGCATTTTTTGCCTTTTTAATACCTTTGCCACAGAAAATGCTGATTCTGTTACAGAAGTTGATACAAAAACAACTTTTCTTCCAGTAAAAATAACTAAACACATGAGAAAAGTGATGCATTTTGTGCTTTCCTTCAGTTTTCCTTTTTCTCTCTAAAAATGAGGTGTTGAACTACCTTTCTCACTCAGAAAAGCTGAAAATTCAACTGTTAATACTTAGTCCAAATACTTAGCGACAATATAAAGTGATGCTCATGAGAAATACACTCCTATCTGGAATGAAATTAAGTTAGATAATAGTTTATTTAATTTCCTCTAGTTGTTACTTTATTCTTGGTGGTGTTTGTTTTATTTTTCCAAATGAAAGATTTTTTGAGCATAGAGTGAATTGTTTTCTGGAATATCTGCAGTGCTAACTGTTCATACACATGGGGTCACCTGAACACTTGCAAATTGTGTTTCTAGTTTAAATGAAATTCATTAATTAGAAATAAAGCACGTATCTTTCAAGACAAATTCTTCACCTAATTTCATTTTAACCCAAAATAAGTTTAAAAAAAAAAAAAAAAAGGTTTTGAGGGCAAGAGGAGGGTGAGAGCTGCATAAATGTAACCTGCATGCCCATTTATCACCATCTCTGGGGTACCATGATTACCTTTTCATATCCATGCTGTGTCAGCTGCAGTGGCAATGGCTGTTTGTATGCAGTTGAGGCAAATGCATTGCAAAACATTTATGTGCATGTCTACTGATTTCATAGCTGCTATTCTCCCCATGCATCTCTAAATGCCATTTTGGGTCAGTGGAAGTATTTATCCCACTGCATCACTTATTACAAAGAAACCAAAGCAGAACCATCATCTAATTCAGCTGTCTAATTATTTTCTCTCTTTTTGCAGGTATTTTTGATAGAATATACAGGTCCATTGTTCATCTATTTTCTGTTTTATTTCCGCATGCCTTTTGTGTATGGACTGGATGAGAGGTTTACATCAAGCCCACATCCAGTAGTTAAGTAAGTCCGTTGCAGGCTTGAGCTGTATTTCTTGTTAGCATTGTAGTCTTATTCCAAATGTCTTGCCACACGTTTTTTTAAGCACTCTTAAATGCTTTTGTCTTGCTGTTTCTAGCTTGGCATGTATCTGCCATTCTTTCCACTACATCAAAAGGTTGATTGAAACAATATTTGTTCATCGGTTCTCCCATGGGACTATGCCACTGAGGAATATTGTGAAGGTAAATTGTGACAGAATCTATCCGTAGCCCCTTACAAATCCAAGCTAGCCAACCTATTCTCTGCCTCTGCAGCACAGATTTTTTTGGATGTGGCTTTTTTAGTAATGTGCAGCAAATCCTACCCATGAATCTGTAGTTCCTTCAGAAGATTTCTTAATGCCACTCTGTATAACCCACATGTTGCTGTACAGTTATTCACATTATAGTTTTCTCATTGCTCTTTTCTAATTTGAAACTTTCAGCAATCCTTTTGTTGTACTCAGCTAGCTCTCTGGGTGTGAAGACTTTAGTAACAAAGTTGACATTTAAGGTGGTACAGATAGGTACAACACTGAGAAGTTTGTTGCTTTAAAACCATTTTTAAAAGTCACAATACTTCTTCCCACCTAATACTACCTTTGTCGATAAGCAACTATTAATTTACCTTTTGTTGTTCCACTGCAAAGTAGCCTGGTTGTCCTGTGTTTTCTTCTCACTCAGGTGCACCCCCTGATGTTGTCAGTGCTGCTGTGGCATAAGGCAGCCATCAAGATACAGATCCCCTATTTCTTAGTATTCTACAGAGCTGCACGCTTATGCATGGGCTGTGGTTTTTCAAAAATGTTAGCAACATATGACCTGCTATTCAAACGTACTCTTTATACTCGGGAGAACAAAAGCGCCTACTACAGCATCACCATTTGAGTAGTTAATATTTTGTATTTAGACAATCCCTTGGACTCTGAATTATGGCAGTGATACTCCAGGCTGTTTAAACTTTACATCATGGCTAACTTAGAGCTTTGCAGTGGCTCTGGTAATTCTGGCAATAACTTCATGCTTTCTACATGGAATGAGAAAGTTGAGCCAGTGGATCCCAGAAAGAATCCTCTTCAGACCAAACAAAATGTCATTTGTATCCAGTCATTCTGATCACATTTACTTTTCCTCCTTTTCAGGTTGGTGGTACTTTCTTTCATCTGTAAAGTTGCTCACAGTTCTTCTCCCTGCTTAACACTGCCTGGATTTGATTTACTTCTATAATTTCCTTGACTTTGATGGTATTACTTTAGAATTCCATCAGTCAAAAAAAAAATAAAAAAAATCACATCCTCTTCCCTTCTTTCTCTCGCACACAGATGGTAGCCAAAGCTTCTTACTTTAAGTGTATAATCACCCACAAAGCAAATGCTTATTTCCAAAGCAAAACAGAATGCTATGTTTAAAAGGAGACACTTCAGTTTCAATAAGCAGAGACCTGAGACAAGAATTGATATGATTTGTGATTTTCATCCTTTTTTTGTCAAATGAAATAAATGATGCAGTAAAATGCAGCAAGGGCTCACCACACAAGCGGTTCATGCTACACTTCCACAGTATAATTCTAAGATGATATTCTAGGCAATGTCAAGATAGAATATCTGCCTTACTTGGATTTAGCAAATGTCTCAGTAAAATAGGGAATAATACAAAAAATGTGTGGTGATAAAGGAACTAACTAAAGGGAAGATGACAGTGGTTGTGCCAGAAGAGGTTCAGTCAGACCTTCAATAGTAGTTGAGCAGTGGAATTCCTCAAAGGTTAAAAAAGGGTAAAAAGACAGAATATTGTTGCTTCCTATGATCTTATCTGGAGGAAAGAATATGCTAGAGCTAAAGAAATTCCATTTAAACCAGGAGACAATATAATGAGACAAACAAAAGGGTACACACTGGCTATGAGTAAACATAGGCAAGATAATAAGAAATAGTTTTGATCACTATAGGAATAATGATAAATTGGAGGAGAAAAAACAAAATTCCTAACTGGAAGTTTTAAAACTTAAGAATAGTTTATTTATGGGATCTTAGCAATATCTGGACCTGATGGTTTTTTATTTACCTGGAATAAAAAAGATGCACAGAAAAAATTCTCTTCTTTCTAATGAATTAAGTCTGCACGTACCATGCTGTTTCTATGTGAATCTCACTGGAGACTTTTGTATGAGCAGTAAGGCTTCTAGTGACATCTTATTACATGCAGTGTTAGTGCTAAGGGTGGCAGATTCCACTCATCTTTAAAGCTCTTTTTGTTATAATTGAGATAAAACTTTTAATTCTTGTGGTAAATCGTGTTCTTTGGATGACTAGTATTTGTTCAGTTTAATTACAGCATGTATTTCTGGGAGCTGAGCCATGATCACTCACTTAATTATACTTTACAAAAAATCCATTGCCATATGACCCATCTTGTGCCAAGCCTGAAGTTATAGGGAGATTTCTCATAAATTGCCATTCCAAGATTACAGGAAAGTGCTTTCACCGAACTTTGTACAGCAGCTAATACACTGAGGATGATGTCACATGAAACGAGCATTAGGACGGAAGCAGTAATTTATGGATAGGACGCTGACTAGACTGATCGTCACTGGAGTCTGTTCTCCAGCTCCGCTCCTTTTCCTGGATAAAAAAAAAAAGAGGAGGTAATCACAGGGAAGCTACTTAGTCTCTCCCTTCTCGTCCCGCCTGATCTGTAATCATTAGTTAATAGTTTGCTCTTTCTCATTAGTTATTTATTAATACATAATCCCAGAGCAAGAAGTAATTAGTTTGAACTACAAATCCTAAGGGAGGATTTTGTCTGAGGTCACTGGTCACTTCAGTGGTTCACTTAATTCTGGAAAGAAACTGGTTTGTAACAGAATGTCTGATGGGGATAGGGAGCGGGGTTGCCCATCACTAGCATTTTGAGAAAAACACACTGTCACTTTGCACTCAGTGTGGGTTGCAGACGCTGAGGTGATCACTTTTGGGGGTATTATTCCTAGAAATGCAGTTCTGCTATTTACAAGATCGATAGACTGCAAAATTCAAAGCCAAAAAAAAAAGAGTTTAAACGGCCAGGACATGAAAGACTGCAGCCTTGGTAAGAATTTGTCTATGTGAGCAGGAATGGAAAGCTGTGAAGGAAAAAGAAGATCTAGAAATGTCTAAGGGATGTGAACCTATTGAAAGGCTAAGGAAAAAGCATCAGCAGAGCGAGGGGATCATAGTTTTACTCATGAGAGAAGAATATAAACTGGGGAAGAAAAGTAAAGGGTTCAATTTTGCTTTCGTAGATGTCTAGGTAATAATCAAACACACCTAAAGCATAAAAAATGGAGAAATGGGTTTGATAAAGGAAAACAAATCTCAACCAACAGGAGGCAAATTTATGAGTTGTCAAGAACGGCACCTTTAGTTGAAAGCATAGAGAAAAAGGAGGAATAGGACAAGAAAGGCCTTTCCTCCTACCAACAAATATAGGAAGAAGAAAAAGATAATCTGTCATCAAGATACTAGAGAAAGAGTGAGTATCATAAGAAGAGCCACAGGAGGAAGACTAGGAAAACTAAACAACAGGTAGAGAAGGCAGTTTTCAATAAGGGTTTTTGCTTTTGTTTTTTAATGGATAAAGCTGCTGAATAACCTCTGGAATTGGCCAGGAACGAATCAGTGAAGTGAGAGCTCTATGGAAGCTGGATCACAGAAAGCCAAGACAACACCAAAAGGAACAAAGTAAAGATACCACAGTAAAAGGGGCAGAAGGAAAAGTCATGTGTGATGATTTAAGGAAAGAAAAGTTAAAACATTGAAGGAGAAAAGCCTCGACGGGACAAAGGAGAAGAAAAATGTCAAGGAATTGGACAATACAAAGAAATAAGCAGGGAAGAGAGAGCATTGGCAAAATAAGGTTTTATGAGTCTAAAGGGTTAATAAAACAAGTCTCCCTTTAACATAAAGCCTACATGACACATCATCTTTGGATGGCTTGTGAGACAAAGAAATCTGTTTCCAAAAGTAGATTAATACTTTCTAAAATCATTTATAAACTTAACAGCTCCAAGAATATTTGAGGAAATCTTACCCTATGAGCTCATTTCCTGTTTGCGCCTGCCTTACCACACCCAGTATCATCACTTCTTGTTGTATTATCAGCAACTTGGAGGATCAGTCCAATTGATAATGTTATCTGTGGTCCTCACAGTGAATTCTTTCCAAGATGATACTAAAACAAAGAAAAATTACCTGTTTTTCAGAACTGTTTATATTACTGGGGATTTGCAGCTTGGCTTGCTTATTACATCAATCATCCTCTTTACACTCCTCCTTGTAAGTAGCATTACAGCTCTCAGTATGATTTAAGTCCTTCACTGGTTGTATTTTATAGCTAATCACATGTAAACATTTTGTTTTATAGCTTATGGGAAAAAACAGATTAATTTTGCTGTGATCATGTTTCTGGTAGGTCTATTGCTCTTTTTATAAAATTCTAAAACTTGCTGGTTTATTTATTATGTTGTGTAAGTGGAAGAATGGGTAGGATAAACAGATACTTTAAGCTAGAATACTTGGGACAAACTATAGCTGCCCACCTGCATGTAGAGAAGACACATCTGTCACATTTTAACGTGATCTTGTACACAAAGGAAGATTCTGATTAAGTATCTATTCTAAGACTAGAATGGGTTATTGATCTGTTGGGATGATCTCCAGTCACTAAAAGAATCCTGGCATGATCAGTCTGTGACAGTGTTAAAAGCCACTGAGTTTGTCTTGTGAAATATTTATTGAGTGTTAAGAATCAGAACAGGTCATAAAATTTAGAAAACTGGCCAACTAAAACAGTACATTGCTTACTTCTAGGGGAAGATGTTCCTTTAGATGCAACCACTTGCAGCAGATGGAGCAAGGGGAAGTAGGTGTTGCAGGGGCATTTTAAGCCTTGTAAGGATTTTTTTTATGAAACAAAGTTCTTAAGACACTGTCTGATCATCCTCACAGTTCCTAGGAACATTTCCACAGTTGCGTAGTGTAGCCAATAAAGATGTACCAATTTTTCCCACTTATGCCTAATTCATTTGAAACATCAGCTGTTCACCTGCTTTGAGAAACCAATGCTCAGTTACCAGAGGCTCTCAAAGCATCTTCCCAGTATGAAATTTCTGTGAGGTAGTAAACTAGTCCCATTTTATAAAGAGGCTACACGAATATATACAGTTTGCAATAGCACTCAGGTCTGACCACCAGCTGTTAGTTTTAATAGATGCAGCACAGATACTGAAGATACGATCCATAATTACGTAAATGGGTTATTCCAATACCCTTTCCACATAGTTGACTGGGGAAGCATTATTTAAAACCAGTGGAGAAAGCTGGGTCAATTACATTTTATGATTCAGATTGATTATACTCCAGAGAAGAAAACTTCTTTTGAGTCCAATCCTTGGGATTTTGATGACTTCTGAGAAACCAAAACTATCCAAATGAAGTTTTCTGGCGTTTTTAAAGAGACTAGCCAAAAGACAAAGCAGTAGTTCCTGGATTTGCTTTTATTTGGTTTATTGCCTTTAGATCTCATGGAGACTGCATGAGAAGTAAATTATCTTTTGGATAGTGAATCTACATTTGTTGGTAAAACTCATGTGTAACATAGCATAGTATCCTGGCAATTTGCAACACATTAACTCCCATTTTTCATTGTGTTTACAACAGACTCTAACTTACTTTATATTGTTTTTAAGTTCCCCTGGAAATAACAAAAGAAAGAGGAGTGTGTAGAAGAGAAGAATGTTTTTAACTGTCATACCTTTTCTTGCAGCTATGTGAAGCTGGAAATTTTTCCATTCACGTTGCACTTAGTGACCTCCGGAGAGATGGTAAAAATTGCATACTTTTTTCCTTCTGCGCAGCTGTTCAGTACTTCCACAATTATTCTGCCTCATAAAAGAACTGACTGATCCCGTAGGGTGCTGATACCTACTCTTCTGATTGTGCTGGAAAATCAGGTTGTTCTGCACTATAAAGATTGGATACTAAGGGAGATCACACAGTGCAAGAAATCCAAAAAGAGACTGTCAAAAAACACTTATCTCATGTAATTTTTCTTGGTTACAGCCAGATTATGCTGAGGTGATCAGCTGTATTATTTACATTGGTAGTGCAGAGGGAAATAGTAATGGTGGTATAAGTTATGCTTCGGTGTGCAAGGGGAAAGTTACTTAACTGACCTCTACAGAGGAGCAAAAAATCTTTATGCAGTCTAAAGCTCCTTGCTCACTAACTGAACAATGGATAACAACTGTGACTACTAAAATCCAATCCTCTGACAACTGAAGAACACCTTTAACTTCTAACATAAAACATACTTGAGGCAATTTTATGGGTGTGACTGCAACCCAAAGGATTATGTAAATGTCTTTCTAATGCCCAGAGCATTTCCTCACAGTTACCTTGTTCCTTCAGGTGGGTCCAGAGAACATCTTGTTTTCGCCATCCTGCTTGTCCCTCTGACAGTGATAAGACAGAAGAGTAGGCAGGTTTGGCTTGTCTTTGTTGGAGATAATATGCCCAGGAGTGTAAACATTTTGTGATTTGTTTTCTAATCTATAGGGTCCAAAACTCGTAAGATCCCGTATCCAACAAAGAATCCTTTCACATGGCTGTTTTTCTTTGTATCTTGCCCTAACTATACCTATGAGGTACGTATTTTGAAACAAAATGCTAGCATTTTAACTTTCCTGGATATGTCTTCATTTCTTTTGGAATGTTAAACTCTGAAACAGTTCAGCCTGAGCTTTAGTGTAGCCACTAGACAAGATGCAGATGCACTTTGAAGCAGTGAAAATGTTGCAGAGAGGAATAGGGGAATTGACACTGAGGATAAGTTTCAGAAAAGAGATTGGGGCATCTTGTGGATTTAAAATATATGTGGCCCCAGGAATATCGCAGTGTACAAGAAAATAGTGCACAGTTAAATAGAAGATACCCCTGCTTCTCCCTTTTGCTCTACCACACTATGAGTCAATACCTTCCAGGTCTTACTCTTCATTTTCTTTGGTTATACAGTTGACTACACAAAGTTACTGTTTCTAGTATTGATGAATGAATGACAAATGCGAATTAGGTAGGGAAAATGAAATGAAGCTATGTGGTAATGCTTACACAATTGTCATATTAACTATGAACGCAAACATAAAGCATTTGTTTGTGATAACAAAGCATTGTTCACATTTTGGTTAAAAGCTAATAACAATAGAAATTGATATGGCTGACCTTGGCTTTTTTATTTACCTATACTAGGACAAGGTTGTATTTGATCAATAGAGACATAAATGCAAATGCTGTCATCAGAAATATTTTAAATTTCCTTGGCCAAAACAGGTGGGGACATGGATCAGTTTCACTATCATGACTCAATGTGTTCCAGGTGAGCAATGTTTTGGTACTTCTAACTGAAGTATTGTCAGCAGTGAGAGTTTGTACCTTCTCTGACAATTAAGTGTTTTGTTTTGTTTTGTTTCTTTTCTTTTCCCCTTCCTCCTAGTGGGGCTGTTCACCTTGCTTTGCTTCATTCAGATGACAATCTGGGCAAAGGATAAACACTATACCTACCTACGAGAATTCAAGGATTATCCAAGTGTTCGAATGCCAATTATTCCTTTTTTATTGTAAGAAAAGTTTGGTTTCAATACTGCATGGAACTTCAAGAAGAAAAAGCTCATGGATTTTTCTTATTCATAAATCTCCTGCCAAATAATTGAATTAATTGAAGTGATTCTGGTGTATGCTAACTCTCCACTGCTGTGGGAAACAATACACTTGAAAACTATACTTCCTTATATTCAAGAATTCTTCAATTCAGAAGCACCTTCAAAAAATAAGGCTTCATTGCAGAGCTGGTAGCCAAAAGCCCGTATAGCTCTACTGCAACCTGATTGACTGAGATTTCTGTGCACTAGTGTATTTAGATTGATACATCAGAGATACTGATAAGCTTGTTCTGAAAAGCAGCTCCAAATTTAGCAGTGGCATTCTGCAAGACTGTGACATAAATACATTGGAATGAGGACACAGCAGCCAACTACAAGAAAGCTCAACTCATACAGTATGGCCAGCTGGCCTGAAGACAGTTGCATGTTTTGCCTTCTTTGACTTGAAAAAGAGAGTGTTCTGCCTGGAGGCAGGTACTTTGTGACAAACAACATTACCAAAGAAAATGAATGGCTCCTGGAATAATGAATTGGGCAGTCTCTCAAATACCTGCTTTGGGTCTAAGCTATAATTTGCCAATTAGATCTAAAGAAAGAGGAATTTGTGGATTTAACATCCATCCTTTGAATATATAGGGGTGTTTATCCTGTTTTGTTTTTAATATTTTTAATTAGTAAATTGCATACTGACAAATAAGGTTCACAGTATCTGATCTATGCCATATCCATGATATTTGGCCTGTTTCATATAATAAGTCCTTAACATATTCTAAAAGATCCTAGAGGACATTTAACCTTGTATTTTTTGTCAGAATTCTCTGAATAATTTCAGTGTACTTTGTGAATACATAAAGTACTGCTAACATTCAGAATGGTAGTTCCCTTCCTATTTTCAGAGCCAAGGAGAAAAATCCAGACATTCTGAACTTCCTGTGTTTTCTTTTTCACAAGATGTTCAGTGGGATTTAGTTGGGTTTTGTGCAAATCTAGTAAAAAAAATATAAAATTATGACTGCAATATATCTGAATGATATTTTGAAGAAACTGTTTCAGAATATGAAGAAAATGTGTAGATACTGTTTTGTTTCATGATTAATTTATTTATTATAATGGATGTATAGAAAGATTTTGCAACTGTTTGTAAGAGTGAAATCTACAATAAATTCTAGACTATGTTTTGAATTCAATTGAAATAGCGATGGCAAAAGAGGAAGATTACAGCTGGTTGCCAAAATTTCATAATTATTTGTAAAGTACAAAGGAAGAATGTCCTTGCATCAAGTAAGACCTATATAAATTGAACAAAAAACTAAAAAAGCAAAATACGTGACCCACCTTTTATTTCTGTATAGCACGTGTTGGAGTTCTTTTTTTTTAAAAATGAAATAATTTCTTAGATAAGTGAAACAATACGTAATTGTGAATCTGCTTGCAATACTGTTATTTTATATTAGTTCAATGGTGAACCAGAGAAAAGAGCTAAATGGCAAATGATTTCCCATCATGGAGTACAAGCAGGCTGAAACTTTCTGAGCACAGAGAAATCATACTCTATTCACACTTTATACCCACTTGAGGTCCAGTCAAAGGAAAGAAGAAAAGTTTGGTCTTGTTTGGCTGGTTTAGATGTACTATTTTGTTTAAATCCCAATTTGATACTCTGCTTCCTTTTCTGAACTTGAAGATCAGTGAGTATTAGGTCATTTTCATTAAGCAAACTTCTTGCCTTGATCTGAGATGGGAATGAATTCTTCCCATTCTTATTGAGACAAGTTTGTTTCCACCGGCAAGAATGAAAAATAAGAGTTAACCAAGAAAATCCTACTGGCTGGAAAGGACTGGCTCTTTTTAATTCTCTTTACATGTCAACGAGGAGGAATGAAGCTTCTATTCTTTTATAATTTACATTAGAGAAAGATTTTTTTTCCTGGAACAAGTACCTGCTTTTCTTTAGATGCTTTCAGCATGTGTTGTATGTAATATTCCTGGTAGAGCAGCAGAAGTTTGCCATTGCTAGGGACTTATAAGCACTCTTCTCAGAAAGTTACAGAAAGTCAGAATAATACTGGGCATGGAAGCCTTTCTTTTACCTTTTCATCCCTCTGGTATGGCACACTAAATGCTAGTGACTGTCGGAATAGTCTATGCAACTGCCTGCTGCTGTGAAGCAGGAGACACCTTTGTTTCTTGGTTCGATCCAGCTGCACGAGGATGCAAAGGAATTTCCTCATCCTCCACCTGCTGCTTAGCAAAGTTCACAAAAACCTACGTGAAGAAAGAAGACAACGACATCAACTGAGATTAGCTAGTAGAATGTCTCTATACATTTGTATCTTCTTGGCCTCTGCAAGGAAGAGAGGGAAAGGAGAATCCAAAAATAAGTACTCAGAACTGAAACACAGGGCATCAGCAGGGACTATTCATTCCTCCTTTATTTTGATAAATTTCCTTGCAACTTCCCTTCTTTGGATGCAGTGACTTGCAACTAAGATCCTATTTTGTCTTCAGCGGGAGATGGTTTACATGGCCTTGTGCAATATAATTGAGCTTGGTGGTGATGAGGAAGAGGGGATAGTAGTTCAGTAGGAAGCTGTAAGGCAGCCAAAATGTCTCTCCAGCACCCTCACCAATGCTAGCTTCATCTATGTGAATCATTAGCTACTCAGGAAAGCAGGCAATGCGGTGAATATCCTTCAGAGATTGACTGGGTATTGCCAAGAGTCCCAGTTTTTTTTCAGGCTCTATGTATCTAATTGCTTTTGCATAATAATTGCAATGGAGAGAAAAAAGTGTTTACCCAGATAACACCATATCTCTATCAGCATCTCAGACAACACAACCCAAATCTCTTATACAAAATAAAATTGAAAGAAATATTAGATCATTTCCAGCTCAGGAAGCTTTAGCCTCTGCTCCTGACAGAATAGATTTGTGTGAACTCTGGCACCTGCAAAATGCTGGCACAGCAGCTTTCAGTCAGCACCTAATTCATGAAGGGAATTATTTACAGATTTCTTATCTGATCCACCCTCCTTGATGAGGGGCCTGGGAATTTTGTCTGAGAAAGAGGTTCAAGACAATTCTCTACTGTAAGCAGTTTGATCCTTCAGTTGTTTACACTGTCATTGCATTGCCCAAGAGAGTTTCTCATGGATGATTTATTTTTTACTCACCTGATCTAATGTTGTTTGAGAGACAGAATATTCTTCAATATACAAGTTTTCCTTATTGGAGATTATTAACCGAAAAATCTTAGCCAGAGAAGAGGAGCAAATTTGATACTGCAGCATGTTGTAGTGTTTCTCTCTCTGTAAACTCCCTGGAAAGTTTATGCGTATGAACTGTTCAGCACGACTTAGATCTGGAGGCAGCCCAGTCTTAGGAGCCTTGATTTTCAGTGTGACAATGTAGCCATCTCCAAACCTGTGAAACATGTACAGATTTGGAAATTGGACGAAGAGATAATTTCACAACAGCTCTTCAGATTGGTTTGCTCTATTAAGAATGGTTCATGCCACACATATTAGGTTTACCCATTAAAAACACTACAATATATTCAACTTACTTGTATTTTAGCTGCTGAATTGTGCCCAGACATTTGAAGGTACCTTTTACCATGATGGCCAGACGAGTACAGAGAGCTTCACATTCTTCCATACTTTCAAAACAGAGAATGGATATTTGAGATAGAACCAGCAGACAAATGTCAGCTGCTCTGGGATTTGAATTCCAACTCTATACCTGTGTGAAGTTAGAACTACAGCTCGTCCATCTCTGAGCACGCTGACAATAGAATCCCACAGAAGGCGCCGAGACTGAGGGTCCATTCCAGTAGTTGGTTCATCCTGAAATGTGAATGTTAAGACAGCCAGATTCAGAGTAGCAGAAAAAAAAAAAAAAAAAAAGAAAACATTTAGAAAGGAAATCATTAAAATTAATCTTGCACATTTGGGTTCTAGCTTATCACTGCTTCCCTACTGGAATCTGTGCCTTGGGAACACATAAGCACACCCTGACAAGTGTATAAGTGAATTGGTAGTAATGCACTTCTTGGCACAAAGCAGTAAGGAACCAAACACAAGCAATCTGTCAGGTAAGAATACAGTGCTATCTGTATAGGGCCCAACAGAGGCCTATTCCTTTCCCAACAAGGAAAGAATTGCACTGACCATTATAACAAAGGCAGACCAAAGTCCACGGTCTTAGCTATCAAAAATGTAAGCCTTTATCAAATGTAACTCTGTTACCAAAAGATTCAAAACCCAAAATAAAAATAAATGGAATTCTGATGAATTTTTGTAGCAACTGCATTTACAATTGCCTTTGAGAAATGCAATTATCATAATTCATATTACTTGATGAGAACTACATTTTACCTTTTGTATAGTTTATTCTAAATTTGTGTAGTTCATTTCAAAGATAATAAAGGTTGTGAAAAGGTAGCTATCTTCCTCTGTTCTGCTGGAAAAAGCAGCAAGGTGTATGTAGTAAGATCACAGAAGCATCGAATGCCTTGTGTTGGAAGGAGTCTTAAAGACCATCTGGTTCCAACACTTCTGCCACACCAGACAAAGCTGCCCAGAGCCCCATTCTATCTAACACCTCCAGGGATGGGGCATCCAGAACTTCTCTGAGTAACACGTACCAGTGCCTCAACACCCCCTGAGTAAAAGATTTCTTCCTAACAACTAACTTAATTCTCCCCTCTTTTACTTTAAAACCATTCCCCTAGTCCTGTCACTATCCAACCTTGCAAAAAGTTGTTCTCCCTCCTGTTTAAGCTCATTTAAGCAGTGAAAGGTCACAATGAGGTCTCCCCAAAGCCTTCTCTTCTCCAGGCTGAACCAGTCATCATTTACATGACTGGGTACACTTTGACAAGAAAAGACAGGCTGAAACCAATCATGGATTTAAACTCAGATTTTTCTGAATTATATATTTTAATACCAAACCTTTCCTTATTGAAAATCTCTCTTATAAAAATTAGGTTCCATCCGAAACACACTTACTCATTCTAGTCTACTCCTAATATTTAAGAACTGAAGACTACACTGAAGTAGACATACATAGAGGCAGAAAGGAGCTTGCAAGAACTATCGTAAACATCCCTGTAGCTCTCCAGCATGTAGTTTTATGAGATTTCATACTGAAATATCACAGAGTTCTATTACTGTGACACTTACAAGCAAGATGAGTGGAGGGCAGCCTATCAGTGCAATGGCAGTGGAGAGCTTGCGCTTGTTGCCACCACTGTAGGTACCAGCCAGCTGGTCAGCATACATAGGAAGTCCCAGCTTCTGGATGCCCCATTCAGCAACCTATGAGAAAAAACATCTTTTTCACACAGAGCTAACCCACAGCAGCCTGGATTATTGATACATCCCTCTTCTGGCAGAAAATGGGCAAACCTTTGGATTTTTTTTTTTTTTTTTTTTTTTTTTTTTTAGAACTGGAGCTGTGGTCCAAAAAGCTATGATGATGAGGGGAATTCTAATCTCTTGAAGTAAAGCCATACTCCAGCATCAGCTGCAGAATACTCATCTGTGCAAGAACGTACATTATTTTTCATCTGGAACCTTCTCTATGTTTTCTTTCTCATACATGAATAACTTCAAAGATGAGAACAAAACTGTATCTGTATCAGTAACTGTATCAGTTTTGAGTCATAGCAGTTGCATCCTTAGCCTTCCAGAATTGGCTCTGCAGTTTTCCATAGAATCGTAGAATGGCCTGGGTTGAAAAATACCCATACTTCACGTATGTATGGTCATGTAGTTTCAACCCCCTTACTATGTGCAGGGTCGCCAACCACCAGACCAGGCTGCCCAGAGCCACGTCCAGCCTGGCCTTGAATGCCTCCAGTGATGGGGCATCCACAACCTCTCTGAGCAACCTGTTCCACTGCATCACCACCCTCTGTGTGAAAAACTTCCTCCTAATATCTAACCTAAATCTCCCGTCTTAGTTTAAATCCATTCCCCCTTGTGCTATCACTATCAATCCATGTAAACAGTTGTTCCTTCTTCTGTTTATATGCTCCCTTTAAGTACTGGAAGGATACAGTGAGGTCCCCCTGGAGGCTTTTCCAAGCTAAACAAGCCTTGTTCCCTCAGCCTTTCTTCACAAGAGAGATGGTCCAGCCCCCTGATCATCATAGTGGCCCTCCTCTGGACCCCTTTCAAGAGCTCTGCATCTTTCTGGCGTGGACACAGTACTCCAGATGGGGAGTATTTCAAGTATCAAGATCCTGGATTTGGTAGTGCATTCTTGTACTAAATTCCAAATGACAAGAACCACTCTCAAGACTTCAACATAAAGAAAGGCAAGCTCAATTTGGAAAA